TGGCCAGTAATTATTTTTAGACTTAGATAGGTCTTTAACTTGGTGTTTTGTATTTTGAAGTCTTCTTTTTTCTTCATGTCGTTGACGACATTCTCAGTTTTCTTGAACACAAAAGTGGCACACGACGCTTTGGAGCCAGTCTTCGATGAGGTGGGTTCATAGCAGCAGTAGCTTTAATAGCTATGAGTTCCTAGGTATTCGCGATTGTTACACTTATGAAATGAAACTATTTTTCCGGATTTATATCGCGTATATTTGTTTTTCAAACAAACCAAAGTTTCGGGCCCATTACAAGTACTGGGACATTTCCTAAGCTATAATGGCTGCTTTTAATGATTCTTCAGTGCAATTCCCTCTCATTGCGGCTACCTTTCTTTTGTATTTAGTATGCATCTAAAACAAGTTTGAAGATAAACAAATATATTTTATTAATATTTTAGACTTTTGTGTGATCGGTATAAGTTGGTTTGATTGTTGGTTGTGATTTTGATTGGCCATCTGTCCCAATATTCCGGGTGAGGTGGCCACACATAAAATTTAAACAAGAAAAAACATGATACGTAGAATTTTGAGCTTCTAACAAAGCATTGGATGAGGACTAAGCGATAAATACAAAAACAATGCATATTTAGAAAAAATAACTTCATTGTAGTATAAAACATGAACCCTCTAAAAATTTTAGCATTACTCAAAACAATTAACAAGGTTTTTACTTACTTTTTCTTTATAGATTTTAAGACTTTCGTGGTTATTCACTAAATGATTATCACTAGTAACAGGTTTCTTACCACGGTATAACTTCTTTTTATTTTCCCGATATTTCGGAACGGTTGCACGTTCCATGGTCACGGGTTGACTGGACGGCGGCAGATGACAGCTTTATGGGCAGACATATCTGTCTACCCTCTTGCGCTGTCGACGACTACCTTCATCGCGATTTGTTGTGGCGTTACCATTGTCACTCACTTTTTTCACACAAACCACACTTACTGTATCCACACGCGAAACTGAACTCGAGGTGTTTTTGTTTTTATTACTGCACGCACTAAGGACCGGATTCCATGCACTGGACAGTTTAAAACCATCATCACGGTTAAATGTTTTGTACTTCGTGATCTCGATGGCTTCTCGTACCAACCGTGGTATGTAGTGACGTTCTGTCGAGAGTACCTGGGGGCTATGCAACTCGATCCAGTGGTTAGTGTCAGTCTGTGTGAGATGTTGTGCTATAGCCGACTTCTGTGCATCATTGTTTTTTACTGCTCGGATGTGTTCCTTCATACGATCGACAATTGTTCGTTTAGTCTGACCGATATACGAGCTCCCACAACTGCAGTTCACTTTATAGACACCCGGTGTTTGTAAAGGAAGGTGGTCTTTTGGTGAACGTAACATTTTTCCTATTTTGGTTAAGGGGGTGAAAACAGTTTTTATGGAAAACTTCCTTAGCGACCTGGCTATTTTATCTGTCACCCCTTGTACATAGGGCAGAAAAACTGGTAGTCTCTGTACGTCAATTTGCTTCTTCCTTTTGTGTATTGGTTTAAATGTTTTTATTTTGTACCCATTCTGTCGCAAAACCGTCTTAACGTGCTCCTGTTCCTGTGGTAGGTGGTGTGAATCACAAAGATCATAAGCTCTATTGGTTAATGACCTGACGACCGAATGTAGGTGTTTTGGGTGATGATGTGAAGTGGCATGTAAATATTTGTCCGTGTGTGTTGGTTTTCTGTACACAGAATGACCGAGTGAACCGTCTTGTCGGACTTTGACCAATACATCCAAAAATGCAAGCGCGCGATTTTTCTCAATTTCACAAGTGAACTTCATTTTATTATGGGTGTTATTAAGACGTGCTAAATAATTTTGTATATGTTGCTCATTTCCTTCCATTATGCAAAATACGTCATCAACATACCTCTTCCATAATTTTATTGTTGATGGTGCTGACAGAATGGCGGCGTGTTCATAGTGTTCCATCCAAATGTTGGCAACAACGGGAGCAACGGGACTGCCCATCGCTACACCATCAATCTGAAGATAGTATTGACCATTATACAGGAAGTAGCTCGAATTTAAGCAATGTTCAAGTAATTGAGCAATCTCCATTGGGATGTTATTTTCTTGAAGTTTCACTTTGATAACGTCGATGCACTCCTTTATTGGTACGTTTGTGAAAAGAGACTCAACGTCATAACTAACCATTGTCTCATTCTCGTCAACTGTGGTACTGTTTAGGATCTCAATGAAATGCCTGGAGTCCTTCACAAAAGAGTTCGTTGTGCCTACTAGAGGTGTTAGTGTACGAGACACATATAATATCGGGAAAATAAAAAGAAGTTATACCGTGGTAAGAAACCTGTTACTAGTGATAATCATTTACTTTTTCTTTTTCTTACTCAGCATATTCGCCGTACACTTGCACTTAGGATCGTATTCCAGAAGTCTACTCAATGCTCAAATCAGGATTTGAGCAGACTTGAGTATGATTTCAAGCACTGGAAATACGACCCTAATGGCAAGGACTTGAGTATGATTTTCAGTGCTCACTGCAATACTCAAGTCCTGACTTGAGCATTGAGTAAAGTTCTGGAATACGACCCTCAGACACGATGCGATGCGAACTGAGCAATAACTATCGCCATCTCGTTAGCGGATCATTGAAATATTGCGATTGGCCATCTGCCCCTATGGCCATCTAACCCGGTTTTACCCTAATTACGAAGTTCGCCAAGGTAGTGTACTTGGTCTCCTGCTGTTTCTATTATACTTTAATGACATAAATGAAAGCATGGTTCTTGAAACAATTCTTTTTGCTGACGATATATCAGTTGTTGTTACTTCTCCAATAAATTCAATATTGGAAGAACATAAAAATGAATTATCAACAACATTGACATCATTAATTGAATGGCTACAAAACAATAATCTTCAAATTAATTTATCTAAGACTAAAGTAATAAATTGGAAATAATGAAATGAATGTGAATTATAAAATAATGGAGAGCAATTCTGCAGAACACCACTAATGTGACATTTGTGGGGTTAATTATAGATAATAAGTTGAGTGGGAAGCATCAAATGTAGAGTGTCTGCACTAAAATAAATAGATTTGGTTTTACTCTATACAAATTAACAAGAGTGGCGAATAAGTGACAGCTTATTATGTATATTGTAGAACCAATATTCAGTTACTATATTATCATTTACGGTACAGACTTCAGGAAAGTTATTATAGCACAGAAAAGGTGTATCCGAGCTATCTGTAATTTGGTACCAGATGTATCATGTCGCCCCCATTTTAAATCACTTAAAATAATACCCCTGCCCTGTCTATGCATACTAGAAACTGGTGTATTTATAAGGTTAAATCAACAAAAAATTGTACTCGTGAAAGGTATAACTACTAGAAGCCTGAGAAACGCAAACAAAGTGATACTTGGTACAATCCCAAAACTGAAACGTAATTATATACAAACGTAATTATGCAATGTGTAAAAAGTTTTTAATAAAATACCGCATCGATTTAAATACCTTCTTCTGGATAAATTTAAAAGGGAATTGTTCACTTGGCTTCCAGAACAGAATTATTCTACTCGATTGACGATTTTTTCAAATATAAAGATCCGAAATCGATGCATATTTTATGTTAATCTTTAAATAATGATGTTATCTTGTTTTAGTTCAATCAATTTGTTAATTATTTGCATGCTCTTATTTAAGGCTAAATTGGATTAAATTCTCCAAACTAATTTTACCACCAACCTTTACATATCGTACCCACCCCATTTAAGGCACATAAATGATATTCTGTTCTATTCTAATAATGATACATGCTGCATGCATGTTTTTCAGGTCGAAATAATTTTTGATATTTGTTAATATATTTTGTACTTAAATCATGTTTAGTGGTACGAAACCACATTTGCAAAAGCGAGTAGGTACTCTATGTAATAACATTTTTTTTTTCAATTGTTGATAATTATAGTCTAAGATTATTGCTATGAACATTTTTTTAAGATTGCTGTTTTTGTAGAAACCTCATACAGACGAATTTTCTGATGATTTACGATGATGGGAAATTGTAATATAATGGTGGTTATACGAGTTGAATTCCAAAATTAAGCGTCTATTTGTAATTTAATATTTAGTATGTAATTTGTAATATACTTTTGTAATATTATAATCTATTAGTTTTCGTGCCAAAACAAAGTGGTTCAATATTATACCGACACTTAATAAAATATACCTACTTATACAAAGAACGTGAATAATTTAATTACAGAAAGAATTATTTTTTGTTGAATCCCTCAGTAAATGTGGTTCATATAATATCAGCTAATAAATTATAATTATTATTTAAAATGATCTGTGGTATATACCTACGTAATACAGGTAAAAAGATCTCATGCGGTCAACGGACACACCTGAAATACTAAAACACCGGAAAAATTCTTTATACATTTGTTACTTTACTTCATTTATAATTATTTTAGAAAAAGAATCCAAATGTTTCAAATTAATAAGCGATTGAGACTTTAGTTTTGAAACAAAACAATATACAATTTGGTCTTTATATTGTGAATTTGTGAGCATGTAACCCCGCCACGCCAGTAACCACGAGGTCCGCGCCTAGCCTCGCACCACTTGCTTGTTGCGCAAGCGACGTTCTCTCGGCATTGAGTTGGGTCCGCGGTCCAACAGGCCACTGCCTCCTTTTGCCGATTACTAATTAATTTGTTAAGATTTATTGTCTAATATAAAATCTAGAGGTCTACATTTACTAACCACTTTTTGTTGTAAGGTCGTAATTGTAAACATACATTAACGGTTTTGGTTTTAATTTCTTTTCATTGCGTTGCGTGTTTAGTTAGTTTCCGACCGAACTTTGATGAGACCTATAGTACAGGTACAAACGTATATAAAAAGTATCTAAGTTTAGTAGACTTATTCAAATAAAATACGTAATTTAAATACCTTATGTACAATATTGCAATTTTATCGTTACATAGGTCTCGCCATGACGGATCAAGATCTTAAACTGAATTTTGGTATGTACCCTTATAAGGCTGCCTTTTGTACTTGCCTTTGTAGAAATAGGGCCAGATTTATTGAATCTAAGGGCTGTATTCCAGAACTCTACTCAATGCTCAAGTCAGGATCAGAGTATGATTTCAAGCACTGGAAATACGACTCTAATGGCAGGGACTTGAGTACGATTTCGAGTGCTTTAAACCATACTCAAATCCTGACTTGAGCATTAAGTAGAGTTCTAGAATATGACCCTTAGAATGTTACACACGGCGATACAAACGCGATGCAATGGCTAATCGCCTACCTTTACACATACGCGAGACTTTAAGCAGCGATGCAAACGCGCGACTGCATCGATACAAACGCGCGATTGCATCGCTACACTTGTGATTTATAAGTGTTTGTATCGATGCAATCGTGCGTTTGTATTCATGCAATTGCGCGTATCATCTCTGCAATCGCCTATAAATCGTAAGTGTAGCGATCCAATCGAGCTTTTCACGAACGCGCGTTTGCATCGCTGCTAAGTCGCCGTGGGTAACCACTCTTAGCCGAGTAATTTCAGCGCTTTCCTTTTTTTACAATCAGAGGTCACTATTCTACAAGATATTGATGTCTGATTAGAAGAAATTAAGAACCGTCAAAATGACGACGGTGTATTTTGCAGGTGTCGAGCTTACCGTGTTATCTTTTGGTTCGTTCTATGTAATGTTTATGTGAGCTTAGTGTACTTATTTGTATAGTGTAATTGTAGTACGCTGTTTGTAGAGTTTAGTTACTCGTATATCATGTTTTTTTCGTAGAGCGTTGAGATAATGTTTAGTATTTAATGACTTTTTTGGGTTTTGATTTTATCGTTACTCGGTGAGTTCGGTTTAAATCTGAAGATATTAACATTGCTTCTTTTTAATATTTTCAGATACGATGGACCCAAATGATTTCAAGGACTTCGCTAAAGCGATGTCAGATTACATAGTGGAATATTTGGAAAACATCAGAGAGAGGTAAGTTCATTTTTGTTTGCATCGTTAATTTGAACATTCTTATCTGTACTCTGATATTTTTAGAATAATTGTAGGTAATGTAAACGTGGCTGCGTACTACATTATAATCATAATGTACCAGACAACAACACCAATAATTACTGGTCTCAAACTATGGAATTACCATGAGCAACATAATTCTCTCCGGGGCATTCCCCAGACAAGAACCAATTTAGAAACGTTTCATTTCCCAAACTGTTCCTACCGGAAAATGAACCCGAGACTTCCTCATCCACAGTGCAAATCATTGGCTCATCGAGGTCATCATCTTAAGTGAAAAATTTGACAAAGAAGGAGAAAAGTTTTTTGAAGACAAGTTTTAAAATATTTTTATAGTTTATTATATTAAAAATAAACGAATTTACTCATTATCTATCTCAACCCACATTTACGTATCATCATAATCGTTAATGTTATATCATCATCAGCATCATTTGTCTCTATATACTTTCTTCTTAGTGTGCCACTTCTCTACGAAGGTTGGCGGCTATCATGGCTATTCTCATTTCTGAAGCTGCCGCACGAAAGAGGGGACGTGTGTTAAGGTGGAACAGATTATTCAACCATTAGGTTTTTCTTCTGCCACGACTACGCTTTCCTTGTATTTTTCCCAGCATTATTAGTCGAAGATTCCGGTATCTATTGCACCTCATTACGTGGCCAAAATACTGCAGCTTCCTTTCCTTTACAGTTTTGAGTATTTCCAACTTTTTTCCCATTCGACGAAGACCCTCAACAGGACCTTTTGTACCCACGATATGTCAAGCGCATGCTTGGCGTATGTCTATATGCACTTTGACAATATACTTTACAATGGTAATTTTGTCTTTCCAGGCAAGTAGTACCATCTGTAAAGCCGGGTTACTTACGACCTCTGGTGCCGGAGCAGCCGCCGCAGCAAGCTGAGCCGTGGACAGCCGTAATGGCGGACATCGAGCGTGTGGTCATGTCCGGCGTGACGCATTGGCACTCACCGCGATTCCATGCCTACTTCCCCACGGCACAGTCCTACCCAGCAATCGTGGCTGATATGCTCAGCGGCGCTATTGCTTGCATAGGCTTTACTTGGGTAAGAAACGGGTTAATTACTAATATTATAAAATTGAAATAATGTGTGTGTTTGCGTATAGTTATTTGGAGTTAATAAGTGCTGACTGACTAATTGACATTATGCTAATGGTCAGGTCATGGTTCAGTTTTACACTAAACAATGTTAATAATTTCTTTATATCGCCATGTGTCTCACATTGGGCAAATGTTTTTTTTTATGATACCATAAGTGATACCGCGACGAACAAGTCATGCACCTGGCGGTAAGGGACACGCCTGTCCATGAGGCCTATCCATAACATTTGCAGTGCCACTCAGAGCTTTAAGTTGCAAAGATCTGAGGCGCACTACCACTGTGCCCGTTACACTGAGACATAACTTGACAAGTCACATATGCCTGTAATTTCACTAGGACCCTTACCCTTGAAAACTGGAATGTAGTAATACTAAGTACTAAGGGTACTTCCTTGAACCAACTCTTTCAAAAGGAACTGCACTGCCGCTAATGTGATAATATAATGTCATTCGAAAGTTTGAAAAGTAAACTAAAGTACAATCCAAAGTGGTGTTCGTAATAGTAGGCATATGCGAGTATAGGAACTTAGTTGAAATATTTTTACCGCTAGTTAGTACTAGTTGGCATGAAAAGATACCGAGGTCACGAAATTTGTACAGGATGGATTTGTGCTAACCAATGCCAGTGTCAATGTTTTTGTTCAAGTAAACTCGTACAAGGTAAGCAAGTGAACCAGATTACGCTTGAACGATACGTTATTGCGCGTAATGTTGCGATTGTTTGTTGAAAACCAACATAATTGTGAGTAAGTAGTTATAGCACCAATACATGTTGCTTCTCTGAACCGTGATGAAAAAGTTATTCAACAACTCACATAGATGTTAAATAAAATAAGCAAAAATACAATAATATAATTGAACTGAAAGTCCATCCATCCGCTCATTCAGTCTCTTTGTACCAGGACATAGTGGCAGTAGAGCTCCTTATGAAAGAGTTCGCCCAGGGAAGAACTGCCACCTTACCTATTTCTGCCGCCAAGCAGTAATGTAAGCATTACTGAGTTCCGGTTTAAAAAGGTAAGGGTGCTGGTGAAATTACAGGCACATGGGAATTGTCGACTTATGTCTCAGGGTGACGGGCGCAATGGCAGTGCCCATAAAATTTTTGCGATTTATAGCCCTGAATTGCACTGCACCTGTTATGAATAGGCGTGTCACTTACCACCAGGCGCGCGACTTGTACGTCCCGTTACTTAGTATTATAAAATAAAAAATAATAATTGAAATTCACATTATCGCGGGACTCCAACCGTTCGAACCTCAGGTTGACCATCCGCAAACATGATACTTGGACGTTGTATGACCATAGGCAAATCAATAATAGACATAATACAGACTATGCAAAGTGACAGGTATCCTCGGTATCCTTTTATCCATACAAGTTAAAATCTCCGCTCTAATAATATTAGGCTCTAGTTTGTTGTTTATCCATGATTACTCTTTTTCACCTCTATACCTTCCACAACAGCAGTTCGTCGAAGAGATTCTTCCAAAAATAAATACCTTGCTACTGCCTTAACGTTGGCGTTTTTTACCAATGGTGCCCGACACCCTTAGACATAACTTGATAAGTCATGTGCCTGTAATTTCACCAGCACTCTTACCCTTCGAAACCGAAACACAGTACTGTTCACATTACTGATTGGCGGCAGAAATAGGTAAGTTGGAGTACTTCTCTGGACGAACCTTAATGACTTTATGACATTTAAATTTTGAACCTTGAGACTCTTTATCTATTTGTCATTTGTTTTGAGAAGCGTTCGTCGTTTTATTTTATCTTACTTTTCTTGTTTTTTAATTATAGTATAATCAAGTAATTATTTGTAATTATAATATAATATGAGTATGATAATAAGAATGAATGAGAACATCGTATGGTACCTACTTGGTAATTAATATTTTTATCTATGTCAATTTCTGGCGCATCACGCTGAACCTTTTAGGGGTCTATATAAAGTATATTTACCGCGTATGTTTACAATTAAATACACCTCTATATCAAACTCTTCTATGATATCTATCAACATTACTAGCTATTTGAAAAAAAAATAACAAATTCTACAATTTCTTCTTTATGAAAAGAATGTCATATTCTCTCTCATCATCGGATCAAAATGAAAATGGCATCGAATACCGTTTCTTAGAGATAGTAGTTTCTGGGGTTAAAGCTGTTCTTGGAGTAGTTTATTGTCCTCCTGCTGTCGATTTTATCACTTCTCTTACTTCTGTGTTAGGCTCGCTCGCAACAGACTACACACATTACATAATCATAGGTGATTTCAACACTAACCTTCTCTCGCGTCCTGTAATTTCTGCCGTTACACCGTAACATCTGCCATTAAGTCCTTCTCATTCATTCATTCTATACTTGAGCTTAATGCTACTCATCACAACATTGAATCCAAGGACTCATGGAATATCATGCTATTGTCTTCTCTCCTGACCTTGTAGTGAAGCACGGTCAGGTCCCCGCCCCTGGTTTTTCCCGCCATAACTTGATTTTTGTGATGTACAAATATAGCCTCACAAACGTTCTCCAGAAACTACGGAACTGAGAAATTTTGCCAGGCTTGACTTAGACAAACTTGCTCACTTGGGCTATGGCAGCGCTCACTGTAGACGGCAAGCTGATAACATTCAGTGCCACCTTATTAAGTTTTTACGACAAGCATGCACCATTACCTACGCTCGTTGAAACTGAAAAGACCACCTGCGCCCCGGATCACTTCTTTGGTGCGTATAGCAATGAGGAGGCGCGACAGAGCTTTTCGTAAATTTAAACTTTGTAGGTCTGAGGAAAACTGGGCTACTTTCGAGGCTCATAGAAATCTCTGTAACCAGATTGTGAGAGTTGCAAAGCGTCACTATTTTCATGACAACCTTCTCCACTCTTCTCCAGCTGACACTTGGAAATATTTGAAGTCAAAATATTGGCTTAGTTAGACCTCAGAATGACGCTTTACCTCATCCTTTCACTCTGGACGATGTCAATCGGCATTTCTCGGCTAGTGTCAGCACTCAATGGGCAGGCAAAGCGGAGGCTCTCAAAGATGTTCCTTTCTTTCGCCAACCATCTGAAAGTTTTATTTTTTCTTTCGGAGTCCGATATTCGCAAAACAATGTCTTTAATGGATATGATGACATTAGTCGACAAATGATAGTCCTTTGTTTAGATAGTGCTCTGCCTATTATTATTCACATTATCAACTTAGCCCTCTCATCTGGTACGTTCCCTAACAACTGGCGCAGGGCGTATGTTGTTGCATCTTCCTAAGATGAATAACCCCACAACCCTTAAACACTTTAGGCCAATTTCTACACTACCCTTCCTTTCAAAAATTCTTGAAGCGATTGTTCATCGCCACCCGTCATCTTTCCTTTTTAGTAATAATATCTTCGATCAGTACCAGTCTGGTTTTCGGCCTGGTCACAGTACTACGACAGCATTACTGAAAGTTACAGAGGACAGTCGGGCAGGATTCACGGTTAACGGTATTAGTCCTCATTGATTTTTCTGATGATATCCTTGTTGCTATCCTTGCTTATCTGCGAATCTCTCCTCCGGAACTGGACTGGTTTTCTTCATATCTTCGAGGACATAAGCAAGCGGTTCGTGCTAAAGTCTCCTTATCTAATTGGTCAGATCTTGAAGCAGGTGTCCCCCAAGGTGGAATTATCTCCCCTCTATTGTTCTCCGTTTTCATTTAATTTCTCCGATCCTCCACAATTCTCACCATCTATATGCAGATGATCTGCAAATATATGCGCAGGCCAAGATTAACTGCCTGGATGATGCAATACTAGGGCTTAATGAAAATCTGCGGCGTATTGCTAATTGGTCGAGTAAGTTTGGCATCAGTGTCAACCCAAGTAAGTGCCAAGGTATTGTCGTGGGTAGTTCTAATGCTTTGACTAGTCAAATATATATGTCCAACCTAGGTTGGACATGAGATCTGTCGCGCCTCTTTCTTATAATGATATACCTATTATATTCGCACTTCATGTTGTAAATCTGGGACTACACATTGATAGTACTTTAAGCTGGAAACCTCAGATTGACTGCATTAGTCAGAAAATCATTGGTACCTTAAGATCATTCTATCAATTCAAATAATTTCTTCCCATCTCAACAAAAAACCTCTTAGTACAGGTCACTATTTTTCCTATCCTTGATTATGCTGATATCATCCAGGAACTCTCTACAAATTGGATCGCTTGCTCAATAATTGCATTCACTTTATTTATGAACTTCGAAAATTTGATTATGGCTTACGATTCGCCAGAGTAGTGATTTGAGAATACTTTCCACTCTTTACTCTACCATTAATGATAAATGTGCATGTGGAAATTTGAAATGTAAATTTGAATATTTGGGTGCATCCCATAATCGCAATCTTCGCTGAGACAGCAAATTGACTCTTTTAATTCCTTCTCACCGTACTGGTTTTCTTTCTAACTCATTTACTTTTCAGGCAATACGACTCTGGAACGCTTTACCGCCCCAAATTCAAAAAGCGCCGAATGTTTATTCGGCGTCTCGTCCGCGATTTCATATTGGAGTCTTAATCTACATCCCATTAGTCTATCATTGTTATGTATAAATATGTATATTAAATATATGTGTATGTATTACATATTTATGTGTATATAGGTTGCTTATATAACAATATAGTTAGTCATATAATATTATGTGCTATGTTTATATTGTGTTTAAAATTATTTATAAACTTCTTCCTATCTGTTTTAATTATCATGTTATACACCCCTGTTAATTATTTTGAACCCAGCTCTCCTGTTGACTGGTAGAGAACGCCTAATGGCATTAAGTCCGCCATTTGTACTATTTTGTGTGCAATTAAGTTAAAATAAATAAATAAATGCCAAAATATACCTTTTGTTTACATTTATACTCTTGTAAATTTCAGATAGCGAGTCCTGCATGCACAGAATTAGAAGTTGTGATGTTGGATTGGCTGGGCCAAATGTTAGGTTTGCCCGATGCCTTCCTGGCGCGATCTGGTGGCGAAGGAGGTGGCGTTATCCAAGGCACCGCCAGCGAAGCTACATTGGTCGCTCTTCTCGGAGCCAAAGCTCGCACCATACAACGCCTTAAGGAACAACACCCTGAATGGACCGAGACAGACATTCTTGCTAAACTTGTGGGTTATTGCAGCAGTAAGTACATTATACAAATTTATTAGAGGTTCCAACCATTAAACCAATAAGATAATTAATTATAACGAAATGTATATTATTTTTAGAGCAAGCACATTCGTCAGTTGAGCGCGCTGGTCTATTGGGAGGAGTAAAACTGCGGTCTGTGAAAACGGACGGTAAGAGACGTTTACGTGGTGACATGCTTCGTGAAGTCATCGAAGAAGATATTCGCAACGGACTTATTCCTTTTTACGTAAGTACAAAGATAACAAAACAGACTGAACATGCAGCAGATTAAATAGCAGCAGTTAAAGAATATAAATTGCAGGTGGTGGCTACATTGGGCACAACATCGTCGTGTACCTTTGACGCTTTGGACGAAATTGGTGATGCATGTAATGAACATAACATATGGTTGCACATCGATGCTGCATACGCAGGATCTGCATTTATTTGCCCTGAGTACCGTTACCTTATGAAAGGTGTTGAAAAGGCAGATTCATTTGATTTCAACCCTCACAAGTGGATGCTGGTTAATTTTGACTGTTCCGCGCTCTGGCTAAAGGAACCGCGATGGATCGTGGATGCGTTCAATGTAGATCCTCTTTATTTGAAACATGACATGCAAGGAGCTGTACCTGATTATCGTCACTGGCAAATTCCACTTGGGCGTCGTTTCAGAGCATTGAAGTTATGGTTTGTATTGAGGCTCTATGGAGTAGAAAATCTCCAAAAGCATATCAGGAAACATATTGCTCTGGCTCATCTTTTCGAGAATTTGTGCACTTCGGATGAGAGGTTTGAATTGTTTGAAGAGGTGACAATGGGACTCGTATGCTTCAGGGTGAAAGGAAGTAATGAACTGAATGAAGCGTTGCTTAGACGAATTAACGGTCGCGGAAAAATTCACCTCGTTCCATCTAAGATAGACGATGTCTATTTCCTAAGATTGGCCATATGTTCGCGTTTCACTGAAGAGAAAGATATTCACATATCTTGGGAAGAAATTAAAACATCGGCCGATGAAGTACTCAGAACTAGCACCAAGTAATAAATTTTGTGGGAGAGGATACATTGTATAAAATATTTGAAATTTATTATTTATTTTAGAATCTATCTTCATGTACTAATAATTATTGTTATTGTTATATACAATCATAATCTCTATTTACATAAGTGAATGTCCATATTTATTTGAATGAGAAAATATACAAATGTATACAAGTCTAGTATGAATATAATTGTGATATTGTTTATGTGTATTTTAAAGTTGACGAAAAATAATATTTAGTAAATAAGCATGTAAAATATTGGACCAGTTGTTAGATATTATATTGACAATAAATTCGTTTTGAAAAAAAAAAATTAAACAGCTATTAGCATTCTAACCGCGAAAAGCCAAGAAAGAATAATCTCAGTACAGAGTACTAAAAAAACCGACCTCAAAAGTACGTGGAATTACGTCTATTTGCTAAGTTTTATTTAAATATCCTTAAATTCGCCACTATACAGGACTTGACACTGGAGGTAATAAAAATCGGTTCTCGCTACTCAAAGTATATTGAGAAAAACGCCTTGAATTGAAGAAATAGCAAAATCAACCATTAAAATAATTGCTCCTTAAGTATGAATTAGGCGCTATTTATAAAAATGAATATTCATGCGTGAACAGCCACCCTTAGAGGTAGATGAATTTCTTAAAAATGAAATGGGACCACTATGGAACTACCTCCTTTCCAACAAAAAAAGAATCATGAAAATCGGTTCACAAATATCGGAGTTATCGCGTAACATACATAAAAAAACATACAGTCGAATTGAGAACCTCCTTCTTTTTTTGAAGTCGGTTAAAAATTAAAACAGTTGTGTTATACGTGTTTTTAGAATAAGAATACGTACAGGGTCAAGAGCACATCACGCTTGACATTTAAGATTTAAATCATACTCTATGCCGCTTACGATAAGAACAGTCCAAAGCATAGACAACTACGTACATAAGTCCAAAGTACAGTGTCAAGTCTAATGTGCTCTTGACTGTACGTACTTATATAATAAAATATAAGTACCTAGGTAATTAGAACAACATTTAAATATGTGTATTTAACATTGTTTATAATTACTATTGTATGTTTCTTGCCCCATAGCGAATTAAAATAAAATAAATAAGAAACTGTACTATTTTCTTTTTATTATTATACCGAGCCAGCGAATGAAATCCTATCAGTAATAGTAAAATTAGTTTTAAAAGGATATAGCTTCATCGATACTTAAATGATACATAATTGATGGTTCCGCTAACGTCAAGGTAGTACGTAGTACATTTAGTACGTCCATGAGGTAGTAGGTATGCAGCTTACCATACTGCACTGCATTACTCTATTTGATCTGTAAAAGATAGAGCAGACAAACTGTAACCAACCTTTAAAAAATAAAAGACAGTAAAAAGAATAAAATCGTCGCAAAGATGATTGATCTTGTCAACTGTCGAACTGAATGCAACACGCTTTTTCAAAATTTGGTGTGAGAAATGTAAATTTTATAGATGGCATTTTTGCTATTTATTAACGTATTTTAATTGGTGTTCACCAATGAGGATGAAATTATCACGTGTAAAGATATTGCTCCAAGGTGGTGTCCGTTTCACTTTGAAATGTATCGAACCAAAAGATGGGGGCGTAATGGCCCTGGCGTTCATGCACCGAGGAAAGAGTACCGCGGTTTCTTCAGGCCAAGAATACTGTATAATGGACTCCAGCAGCATTAGGCCTAATGTTAAAGAGCCCCGTGTCATTATTGTCGGTGCTGGCATCGCAGGTCTATCTGCAGCCCATCGTCTCACACAATGCGGTATCCGCAATTTTGTCGTTTTGGAGGCTAAAGAGAGGTAAAATTTGTAAGGTTTGGAGTTTTGAAGTAAAAGTACCTATTATAAATTATTTGTGTCAGATTCTACTTTACAAGAAAAAAAACCTGTGTGTACCACGAATCTTTTTATGTAAGGTACGACTTACGCGATTTTATAAATTGAAGAGGGAGTTGGTAGGTATTATTCTTAAAATTAACAATATTTAGACTATACTCAATTTATTTTGTTCTTCCAGACCGGGGGGAAGAATACATTCATGCTGGCTTGGAGATTCAGTTATTGAGATGGGAGCGGAGTGGATTTATGGTGCTTGTTTACCCAACTCTGTCTATACCCTGGCATCAAATGACAGACTACTACAATCACCTTTACCTAGACTTGACCCATCGCGTGGCTTGTTTTGTACTAGTGAGGGACGTGCAGTCGATTTTCCTGTAACAATCACAGCCTACCATACCTTTCGACAAATAGAGCAGCAAGCGGCAAATTTGTTTAGACTGGGTGGAGAACGATGTCACGGGACTTTACTAAATTTTCTTGGATTACGTATTCAACAGGAGCTACACAATTTCCCCGAAGACCAAAGATATGACGCGGCTCGAGTTATGTTTGGATTGACAAATCTTCTACGTAATAGATGTGGAGACGATTTATCGCTTGTAAGCGCCGATCAATACGGAAGCTATATTGAACTTCCGGGTGGAAACGTTCGAGTTCCTTTGGGATTCGTAGGTGTAGTCGCACCTTTATTGCGTGGACTTCCGGAAAACACCATACGATACAGTAAGCCTGTAAGTGTGATCCGGTGGGGTACGGGTGCGACAGGCCCTGGTCGAGTAATGGTAAAATGCTGCGACGGCGAAGAAATGTGCGGCGATTATATTATTATTACCTTATCGCTAGGATGTCTTAAGTGTCAAGCGGATAAATTATTTTCACCGCCACTTCCGGTATGCAAATTAGATGCAATTTGTAACTTGGGGTACGGACTCAGTGATAAAATATTCCTTGAATATGCAGAGCCATTCTGGGTATGTCACGAAGGTAGCCTTAAGCTTGGTTGGTCGGCTGAGGAACTCGCTTGTAGATGTGATTGGACTCGAGGGGTGTGTTCTATAGACGAAATGCCAGGAAGTAAACACGTGTTATGCGCTTGGATTTCTGGTCAAGAAGCAGCTATGATGGAATCGATGTCTGAAAGCGATGTCGCCGAAGGCATAACGCAATTGCTTCGGAGATTTACTGGAAATCCGTGTCTTCCATATCCAGAAATGATGCTACGATCACGATGGGCGTCTGATCCACATTTTTGTGGAGCGTACTCTTACATGAGTTGTTGCTCTACCGTTAGTCATCAATGTGAATTAGGAACTCCTGTGCCTGGTCCCTGTGACGCTGAGCCGCCTAAGTTAATGTTTGCAGGAGAAGCCACCGTACCGGGATATTTTGCAACTGTTCATGGCGCGAGACTTAGCGGCATTCGTGAAGCTGAACGTATAGTTTTGCTAACAAAGAAATTCGAAGGGCCACCTTGCACATAGTGCACAGACGTTAGTTGATTTATGTGTAAGAAAAGGCGTGTGTGTCTGTATTACAAAGTACTTTTGGAAGATTTGAAATTTTACAACTCCTTTATTGTTTTTGGTTCATTTTGAATAAAAAGAAAACAACTCTGTATGTTTGTTTTATTTAAATTGTAAAATAAATTATTTAAACCTTTTGGTGTATTTGAACTAGTTAATAAAAGTTTCTCAACTACGAAACATGTAGAAATAAAACAGGGACCACATGCGTTAACATAACTCTCATCTACAGTGTATTTACAAGTAGAATATGATTTGAAAAATAACCATGAAATGGCACTGTAAATGGCCACAAGCATAACCAACATCAATACACTGATGTTTCACAAACAACTTTCAGAAGTTCTTGTCTCATTTTAGAATACTGAAGTTGTTACTTATAAATAATTGGTATACATATTGTATGATTGAAGATTTGAAACTATATACCATTATCTAAGTCAGCTTTCGGATTTAGTCTGACAAAGTGTGAGAGTCATAAATCGAGTGTCCAAAGAACGACATAACTAAATTATTTATGTTTTAAAATTCACAGCAGCGTCTCGTGACGTTTCTCATAAAATCCTTAGTTATTAAGGAAAAACTGCATCTAAATCAGTTCAACATTTCGTAGATAGATGGACAGAGCAATATTAGCATAAAAATATATTCCATCTACCTCAAACACGTATTAAATATATTTTCCGTTGTAAGTCCTTATATCAGTTTATACAAACACAAATACATATAATAAATATGCTCAACGATATTATACCTACCTAAATTTTCCTGTTTGTTAATCAATTTAGTGAGTATCATGTACATACTGTGCTGTATAAGTAATAATAATAGTGATCTAGTCAACTTGTTAGTATGACATCATCATCACCACTTACAATAACAATATATAACAACACAGTATACGCAACTTGTTGCCTTGGCACTTTGTTTATTTAACATAATAGTATAGATATGACTTGACTGTTTTATTCAATGGATTTGTTGTTTATGTTTCAACTGGAATAAAATAATTATTAGTCAAACAAAAACTATACAGAAATATAAGTTATTACAAGATTGAACATTTTATGTTTCAGCATTACAGGAAAAATACAATCATGTACAATGGTGGTCAGCTAATTAGACGGTTTCTTAACATCTTATACTAAAAATGTCCCTAATTAACTATCCACCACTGTACATAAACATACAATACCATATTTATACATCATAGCATAGTATTCTAAATTCTGTCACTTGGTATAAGTCTCTCTAAGAGATTTTCACCATCTTCTTCCTGTATTATAGACTCAATGTTGAATTTATCCCTAAATCTAACTGCCCACATAAGTACTTTATTTCACACCCAGTAATTTACGTTTATAACTACCAAAAAAAAAAAAATATTGCAATTATTTTACTATTAAAAATCACAATATTTGTAATAAAAATGTGGTTCATATAACTTTTTATAATTTGTATCAATTAGATAAAACGCATGTTACAGATGTTATATATAAAACTTAAAATTACCTTAACTTTTAAAATTGGCAATAGAAATCTCAAGATCATATTAATATTACAAGCAATATTTGAGACCAGCTAGATAACTGCCAAGACCACAGTTTCCTGAGTTCAATGATAAATCTTCAAACTCAAACAAAAGCCTGTAATCTTTGAAGTACCTATCCCTGCATTGCACAGCATATGGATAAGATAGACACCTATTATGATGCCATGCAAATTCAATTTTGTACCACTTGTCTTTCTTAATCACACATGGTTCAGATAATTCTATATTAATCATAGAATCATATTCCACTGTGTTCATGTAATTAGTAAACTTAATAACTTTATTATCAGATTCTGAAATTACAGAGACGGAGATTTGTTCAGAGTAAACTTTGGCAGTGTTATTTCGAAAATTGAATACTGGTGCCATTCTAGTTGGTATGCAGAGCGATGTTATGAATACTGATTTGTTTGCTTTTACCTTACAGCATATAGTGAAGTTGTTGGCATCTATAGAAATAGGTGCTACAGATTTCAATGGTTTGCGATGACATAGTTTCCACTGCAATTTCAAAATGTATCGGTCGGAGTAAACACTTCCCAACGTCCCAATCTCATCCTCCTCTTTCAAAACCTTTGTACCTTTTATAGCTTCTTTAAGGCGATCTATTTCAGATGGCACTAGAATATTATTTTCATCTAAAACTACTTCATCAAGTTCTTCCAGAGACATTGATAGAAATCGCAAGGATTTAAATATGTCATTTTTTATTAACACGTCACGCCTAGCTTTGAGTGTTATAGGCATATCATTTTGTTTACAGTATAGTGCAGTCCAAGCAAAAATATGCTTAATAAGATCTTTTTCCTTTACATTAAGTGCATTAGATTCAAGAACCGATTTGAGGCAATGTGGAGACATTTCCGTTTTGTTTTCTTGTAGTAAATACTCAGCATGTTGACAGAACAATGTTCTAGCGGTTGGTATCACATCATCATCTTGCAGGTACTCCGGGTAGTTAAGTATTGTTATAATGTTGTCAATACTGATGTGGTCTTTAACATATGTAATACACATGTCAGTCAATTCATTGAGCAAGTATTTTTTTGCTGCATAAAGCAGTTCTAGAGCTTCTTCTATTGACCTTAATTCAACTTTGTCAGTGTAAATAAAATTCAACAATTGTTGAAAAATATCTGGTTCAATGTCAGGTACAACTATGCAGTCACTTGATGATAGTGGGCCGTAGAACATGGCCTCAAAAACAGGACTGCTGATGCACAAAATTAATTTATGTGCTTTAAATTCTTTACCAGATACAGAGAAGCAGCAATCGCTCCATTCATATGAGACGAGCAGCTTTTTGACACGGTCGTACAGACTAGTCCGACTTGTTTCATTGTGCAAATAAACCATCTGAAAACAAACAATAATTTAATAGAAAACTACACAATTTTAACAGTGCCTTCCAGAGAAGTGTTTCTTTTTTATTTCATAATTGAAAAATACAATACTTTCCGTAGTTTTAAGGAACAACTATTAATCCAAGTGTCAATGTCCTAGCATTGATCTACAGGTATATATTAAACTGGTCCAAACAACCTTGAACTTGATCTGGGGCACAGGATGGATGAAGCTCGACTATTTACAATGCAAAGCTATAAATGATATTTAAAACGTAACATCGTACCTTGTATACCAGGTAAAATAACGTTGCGTCGTCGAATAGTGAACTCTTCTACTAAGCCACGGAATCGTTACTGCGAAATGTTGGCTTTATTTAATTTATTAAACGTCGTCGTCGTTTTCGATCGATGTTTGCAAACAAAAAATTAATCACAGACTACTTTACTTAGTTTTTTTTATTAATAATTTTGGCTTGGATACAAGTCCTTTGAGCCACGTCTTCGTTTAATTATGTTTTTTGTAAATATGGCCGCCACAAAGAGATGGCAATTTGAGGTGGCGTGCTTGGATTGACTCGGGATTCCTTAGAACAGGCCGATAAGGATATTTTAGTTCGAGATTCGTATAATTTCGCGTTTTAATTTTCGATTAAGGCACAATAGCACTGCCCTATTCCACTTTAAACTAGATTTCACAAAATAATTGAAAGTCAAAATAAACGACGAGAAACAACGAGACTTCCCTCCAAAAGGCCCAGAGCGAATACACCACAAACTAATAAGAGTTACTACGAATACACAGACTACTTAGTACTACAGACCATAGATAAGAGTATTATACAGCTTGGCAAAAAAGAGTATGACGTGGTGAAAACTGGAACTAAAAAAAGATATTTGTGGCAACACTATTAAAAATGTCAGTGGTGTCAAATAACCAGTAGCTTTTGTGTTATTGCTGTTTGCGTTGAGTAATTTTATACGAAGTTCTGTAAATTCTCGTACGGTTGTTGCTTGTTTTGTTATTTAAAATGAACAAAACGATTCGTAGTAGTGGTAGAACAGTGATATACCAAGGCTTTTTTACGATGTTTGGCTGAATCTCAAGCGGGACAAATTTTGTCTGAAATTAAAATGTTTATCAGAGAACAGCTGATATGACAGGTATTTATGCAAATTATTCAATTATTATTACGTTCTACATGTCGAATTACGCACGTTGCACTACTTATAATATACAATTAACGAGTTTTTGTGTTTAGTTGACAAAATAGTAACTAAGGTTATGTTTACGTATCATTTATAAGTTGACTTAATATTTTTGATTCTTTCAAGACTTAAAATTCAAATAAATTGGTGATTTTGTATATTTGTGTATGTTTGGTAATTTATTTTAGGTAAATCTGTCAATACCATAACAAAAATTGTTGAAGAAGGTGAAAAAAATAATGGCGTGTTTTCTACACCTGTTAAACATAGGAAAGGTCGACCAAAGAAAGATCTCGATGATTTTGACCTCTACGCAATTAGACAAAAGGTTCATTTCTTCTACACGGTAAAAAAACAGGCATGTATTATATTTTATATTAATGCCACTTTCTTCAATAAAAAAACAGTATTATGTAATAAACAAAAACTTTTTATTTTTTTTCTCAGGTGCCTACACTATGAAATTTATTACCTGTAGTTAAAGAAGATTTGGGATTTAATGGAAGCCGTGAACATCTAAGAAAGATATTACCTTAGAATAATAACGCATAGAAACCTAGTCCGCACACGCTAAGTGAGGCAAATTGAAGCGCGCCAAAAGGGCCTACACGAGCGGGCGGGCCTTCAGTGCTCAAGGTCAACTTGCACCGCGAACAGGTCAAGAATTTTAGCTAAAAATAACGAAATGTGCGGTAAATGAGTGTACAAATACGTCAGACAAACATAAAATAGATACTAACATCATATTCCACAAGGAAGTAACGCGTTTCAACTTCTATTTTTATATAAATATTCACTAAAACCGAAAATTAACCTACTACTAAAACTAGCCTACATGAATTTGATTTTTGCCTCACTTGTGACAGTTCGTTTGATATGAAACTATCATTCTATTCGTTATTATTCTAAAGATATTACATTCTCTGGATTTCTCTTACAAAAAATGTAAAACAGACAGATCGGCACTAATGGAGAAGCCTAATATAGCAGCAAAGAGGGAACAATATTTAAAAATTATAATGCATAATAGAAATTGGCCTCAAGAACTCCAAAAACAAATTATTTTTTTGGATGAAAGCTACATACACTCATCTTACAAGCTTAAAAAATGTTGGCAATCAATTGAAGTTAGTGGAGTGCGACACAATATATCTAAAGGCAAAAGATATATTATTGTGCATGCTGGGAGTGAAAAGGGGTTTGTTCCAAATGCACTATTAATTTTCAGTGGCACAAACAAGAATGAAGATTACCATTCTTAAATGAATAGAGCAAATTTCACTAAGTGGGTTACCGAGAAATTAATTCCCAATTTGACAGAGCCTTCCATTATTGTTATGGACAATGCTCCTTACCATTCGGTAGTCATGAATAAGGCCCCAACCAGTGCAACAAAAGTTGCTGATGTAAAGCTGTGGTTGCTACAAAACAATATACAATTTGATTAAATTATGCGTAAACCTGAATTGTTAATGCTTGTAAAACGCCACAAACCAGAGGCCCTTTATGAAATTGACCAAATATTGGGGGATCATGGTCACACTGTGGTACGGCTGCCTCCATATCATTGTGACCTCAATCCTATTGAATTGATATGGGGAATGCAAAACATATAATTGCCTCTGTCAATGTAGGGTCCATTGACATAAAGGTAGGGATCTAGTTCATAATTCGTTTTTCTTAATGTTATTAAGTTGAACTGATAATCAATAATATTTTTATACCGACAGATGGCAGCTGAACAAGCATTCCAAGCGATTACTGCTGAAGATTGGAAAAATTCATGCCAACATGTTATTAAAATTGAAAAAGAGTATTATGAAAGGGGTATGACTATGTATGACGACATTGAAAAATTGGTTGAAAAATTGGTAACGTCAAAGATGAGAGCAGTAGCGAGACCACTTCAGATTCATGTGATTCAGATGAGGTTGTTTGGCAACAGCCGGAACGTCTAGCCAAGATAAAATAGAGTTTTCTGGGGTGGGATATCCCGATGAAAGTGTTTTGGAATCTGATTGATTTAAAATTTAAAAAAAACCGCGATATTGTTCGAAAATTAGTATTTATTAAAAAAAAATTAATTGTTATTTAGTTTTATTAGAATAAATTGTACAAACAATAAATGGTTCATTTTCCCTTTTATCCTATTTATTTTATTATAATTTTTAAACCTGCTCGAATCTCCCTTAGTAAGAAGGAAAAAGGTCATTTAAATTATAAAAACAAATAATTCTGTGAGGGATCATATTATGTTGTTACTGTGGATGGATCGAGTCTGATGGTAATTGAAAATTAACTCTAAGGGCGCGTTTATTTGACGCGAATATGTCGCCGCTGCGCGGCCGTGACCCGGTGACGGAGTTCACGTGTTTAGAGACCGAACTGTTATAACAAAATAAGCTTTATTTATTTAGAATTTACATATTAAATTCAGAATTTTCAAGAAACAAAAACTTCACCACATTGCTGCTTGCAGACTTGGGTTCGTCCAGTTACTAAAATTATGCGAAGTTTAACTACAAAGAAACAAGTTGTTATTGCATTATTACTTATAAAAATAATGCAAAGAAGAAAAAAAAGAGGTGAGATGATTTTGGGTTCATCCCATTTTGGAAATAAGAGAAGAGTGTGGAGAATTTCATACGAGGCTGGCTTAGCTTTCGTCCACTTGGCGACCGCGTGGACAACGTGCGGTTGTATTATTCCGAGAAATTTAAATGTTGTTGCCTACCAAGAAAGTTTTCGGGTCGTGTGTCTGGGCGCTAAAAGCCTTTAACAATAAATAAAAATAACAAGTATCTAAACATTTTTCGTCGTAGTATATCGGGTTGCCACATATTTGATCTAGGCGCCCTCATTAAATCCATACTCTTTTTTGCCAAGGCTGTACTAGTTACAATAGTGTATGATCTATGGAGTACATGCTGTACTTGTACATGCGATGGGCGAGTCAAGTTATACTATTGTACTGCAAAATTAAACTTGTAAAAACTTATTCTTTACTTAATGTGCTAACATTTGTTTTTGAGGCGTCCTGTACATTTGTTAACAAACCGGTTTCCGGACGGTTCGCTCAGTGTCTAGTCGCATAATAAAATATTTTGTTATCTTCACTGTTTTACAAATTTATGCCAAAAACAATGTCTACCTACGTATAAGATTTTTTTTGTAAATATTTTGTATTGGTTTGTTCGTAACAAGGAATGAATGGCATCGAGACAAACCCAAGTAGGGTTCAACGGTGTTTTACATTATTTATGTATACTTTTTTCTTAAAACAATAAAATAAATAAAACAGTATATATCGTATCTTCACTGTATTTCATTTCGAAAGAAAGTTGCAGATAAGATTTTTAGAAACGACACAACATTTTTTCCTTTTTTTTTTGGCTTTTCATCCAACATTCATTCGTTCGATGTATTGATTCGGCGTATTTATTTGTTCGTTCGTGCAGAGGGTGCAGGGAGGGAGCGCGAGGGGGGAAATAAATGTCTCTGCCTTGTGTTCGCGCGCCGGGTTTTGTGATAATTTCCTCAGTAAAAATGTTGATTATTCGTGGTGTTTTACCTTAATTAAGCTGTGCTATTTCAGTATAACCATGACTGCTTCTTTTGAAGATTTAGTTCAAGATTTTGATCTCAGTTTACTACGACAAACAGGACATACACCCAATTATGATGTGAGTTTTAGGTTATTATTACCGAATGATATTTAGTCTTGTTTTATTTGTGAAATTTTTATGACTCTGATTTAAACGTACATTATTTTCAACATAAAAATGCATATTGATTCGCTTTCGGCATGTACGAAATGTCTTGAGACTATGTGCGTGCACAATTGCAATCATAACCAATCGATGGATGTACTTTAGTAGATAGATGTCTAGATGAAGCCTAGGTACTTTATCATAGGTTGCCAATCAATAGATAGACGCTATTCACTGCTCACGTGTGTCGCCAGATAAGTGTAAATGTATAATTGCAGAATTTGCTGTATAGAGTAATTTGAATTGTAACTGTTAACCTCTAGCCATTATACATAAAAGTCTTCTGTCTATTTATCACAAACAGACATTGTAACACAGAGTATAATTACCTAAACTTCACGTTACCTATACACGTAGAGTGAAATCCCAAAATGTGTAAAAATAAAAGGCGGAAATTCAATATATAATAGTGATATATTTACTAGACTATATTTAAGACTACAAAACCTTTTTGTGAATGCAATACCAAAGTAAAATATAAAAATGAATGCAACATAGTGCAATACAACAATTCCAGGATTTCACATGGTAGATATTATGCGCTCTATGTGTAAAACTTTAAAATTTAAGTAAGTATACTCTGATTATTGTATGAAAGGTTTTTATAAAAAAATTTTTTACTTATTATTAGTAATAGGCTAAAATTAACATTGGAAATGAAACTATTTTTCCGGATTTAAATCGCATATATCTGTTGTTTCAAACAAACCGATGTTTCGGGCCCTTTACAGGTCCCATGGTCACGGTTGACCTTGTTGGTTGGTTAATCACCCTTTGTTAATTTTTTCATGGTAGCTTCTTACTGCTGTCATCTTAATTTTATATGTATGTGTAGGTTTGGCTGACTTAATCACATACTTAAATATGATTTTATTTTTTGTGAGTAGACATATTATTTCATTTTTTTGTATTTATATTGCTGGAAAATGTAAAAAGAACGATAAAATTGAAAAACATCACTCCAAATTATGTTGAAACAAATGAAGTCGATTTATGTGCTTTAGTTGATCAATGTATTGCTTTAAATGATGGTTAGTTTGCCAAGCCTAGAATTCTTTTTAAAAGTTTGCCAATTACTTGCAAGTTTCTAGAATTAATTTTTATTTTAGATTCATATGAAATTTCTTTTATAAATATATTTTTTATATTTAAAAAAATTATGTTTAGTTAAATATAAATTTTTTTATAAATAACTTGCAACTCTTGTTAATTTCAGTTTCCAAATAAACCAGAAAAGCTCCACCAAATAGCCAACCTGAAGAAGAGAATTATACATACCAGGTATGTCTCAAATTACAAGTAAATTACCATGATATCTCCAGAACCGTCAAAACTTCAGAACTTACGTAGTAAAATTTGCTTAACTTATTTGAAACTATACTAATATTAAGAGCCTTTGAGCACAATATACATATTATATGCAATAGAACAAATAATAAATTTAAACACGCCAGACTACCACACCAATTGTCTGCCTCGAACTAGACCAGAATAACGGAATTCACTCTGGAGCCCTTACTAGAACACCCAGATGACAACTGACGTATAAATGTTAATTTCCCAAAATGTACTGAGGTATTGAACTTAAGACCTGCTCATCTTATGCCCACAGTACCAACTTTCAGGACATAGAGGTCATCTATTTAGTACTAAATATAAATTGGTATTACATAGACGTGGCAAAAACAGCTGTTTGTCAATAATTAACTAAACTGTTATGCGTTTCAACAACTGTTATTGTAAACTGTTGTCAGAAAACCTGTTATTCTGCTGTTTTGTAGTTTTGCATACAATATGACAATGATAGCGAATCAATATTGTGTAGTGTTGCCAGATGGTTACATTTTTTGTATGAGGGAATCCAACTATATGTATTTGTTATTGTAAATCGTAAATAGTTTACGAACGCACCCAAATTAGACAAAAAAGTAACTTAGATGTGGTGCAAATAAGATGAATCATAATCCACTATTCGTACGCTTATGCTTGGCTAAGTTACGGTGTCATCCTGTGGGGTAACAGTACAGATACATCAATCCTGTTTACTCTTCAGAAAAAGCTTGTAAGAATTCTCGTAAATATAAAACAGACCGACAGTTGCAAAACTTTCTTCCAACAACACAAAATTCTTACTTTATATACATCCTGGAAACATGTGTAAGTTCGTCAGAAAAAATTTCAATTTATTTACAAAGCGCGAAGACATTCCGACTAAATATTCCTTCCGACACAAAGACAGATTAATACTACAACCCTCGCGATTAACATTGCATTCATCGAGTCCGTTTGCAATGTCAATTAAAATTTATAACAAATTACCAAACATGATAAAAACAGAAACAAGCGAAATAAAATTTATAAAAGCATTAAAAACATGTTTAGTGGCTAAAAGTTACTATACAGTACATGAATACTTAGATGATAGGGACATGTTCAATTAATAATATCCTCCTGAGACCCCCAGTATCACCTATGATACTTTCATTAATATTTTTTATTTCACGCTATCTCAAACCATTCGTTTGATCTAACATAACGTTGCATTTCTCAAGACATTAACGATTGCTAATAATGTGGGTATTTTTTATCGGCGCATGAGTATACAATGGGAATCCTTAATCGAAATTGAACCTTTGTGCAAATACCGACATGGCGAATTCTCGAAGAGGCAAATATTGATTCAGTTACTTATTACCGAGGTTGTGTTTTTTTATTAGTAAGGACGTTAATCTTTTGATTTTTGATGTGAACCATAAAAATAAAATTCATTTTTAGTAGTTTTCTCAACCATTTCTTTCGGTATCGTAGGTGATACTTTGGGCACTCAAGTCTTAAAACATACATCTTTATAGGGATGACAGTTGATGAATTAGAGGTGATGTTAGTAAATTTAAATGAGTCAGGGTGTAAAGATATTCTCAAAAAGAAGAAGACATAAATGTAGCAAGAAGACATTCGAGAGGAGGTCATTCCTCGGTCAGTTGACGGAAATGAGTGGAATTCTTTTGACGATGAACAGCTTTTTTTCCTTACGCGTGTCAATACGACTAGAAGATCTTTCAACCAGCAGCCTTGGAATAGGATAAATATGTTTTCCAAAATTCATTGGAAGAATAATTTGAATATCCACTACTACTTGACTCAGTCTCTGTGCCTACCCCCGAATATTTTTGCAAATATATCGACCCGTCATTTTTTTAAGCAACGTCTTATCGATAATATTTGATTAATATTTAACAAAAATTGAAAAAGCAAATACAAAGACACGCAAGCACATAGAAAAATTCGTTGGGTCCGTTGGTAACGAACCAACGTGGCTTAGTTGGTATAGCGTCTGACACGGTATGCAAGAAGACGTCGGTTCGAATCCGACCGGATCGAAGGAATTTTTTCTGAGTGTTCGATCTTTATATTAATGATTACAACAAAGTAGTGGAGTAATTTCACAAAAAATAATTGAATATCAATTCAATAAAAATTTATAATATTTAACATTTTTTTAAAATTGAAAAATAAATTTAATAAATAAAAAAAAATAATTGCAGCTTAAACCAAAATGAAAGATCTTTAAATACTAGTCCAAGAAGAAACGAAAATATTTATTGGCATGTGAATGGCTATGGGTACTTTGGGTATTCTCATATTTTTGGCTTCTGAAACAAGAGTAGCTCTTATAGGTACCAGATACTTTTAATTGAGATCCAATATAGTCGTTGATGATTACTCATGCAATGAAAGAAGTACTTATACAAATTTTTAAAAATTCGTCCAGTTGTTTCTGCGATTGAAGAATATTGTAGAGAAAACCAAAGAGACTAGAATTTAGCAATTAACGAGCAGGTAGTCCTATTCACTAGGAAGTAAATATTTAATCTATAGCGGTCAAATGCCATTTCAGGAGTTTTGTTTCAATCTACTTTGCTCTATATTACTAAACCACCTCACAGTGACCCTGTAAGTTATTTAGAGCCTGAAGTTATAGATGTTGTAACTCTGACGTCAAACCTAATACGTAGGCTGGTGGAACCTGTTCCTCGTATTTTTAAGACTGTTTTTTGACCGTTGATTGGATCTCAACACCTCTCTAAATATGTCGAAGGTACAAAAACAAATCGGTCTAAATCTCGAGTTAGTGGATGCAATACACTAACTTTTCCAAAATATTAAGAATATTAAATATCCTTATCTAGCAAGGCTAACCGATATTTTTATGAATATCATTCCCAGAAATAACTAAAAATATTTAAATTTATCTTTAAAAAGCAAAATAAAAAATTAAATTAGTTTAGCACTATATTTAAAATTTGACAAAATTCATACACCATGTGCATTTAACCTTTTTGTATTCTGAGTTAGACCCGCTGTATCACCTGTGATACCCCCTTTTTTTACTTTGGTGCTGGGGAAAGAATTTTTTTATTATTTTTCTCAAGTCTTCGTTTCATCATTGTGCATTGTTCCAAAAATCGAGGACTTACAACCATTTTTTGAGTCCTGCGTCTCAGGAGGATATACATAATTATAGTATTTAATACATAATACAGATATTATGTTTAATAGATTATATTATTGTTAAAGAAAATTTATATATTATATAATTTATAATTATGTTAAAAAAAAATTCTAGGAATTAGGAATTCTAAGAAGTTTTAGGATTTAGGCGTATATAATAGTATTATATGCAGTTACAATTTTTAATTAAAAAAGACGAACTTGTAAAATGTAAATTTTGCAAACAACAGCCCTGATAACACTACTGCAACACTGTGGTGTAATCTATTATTTGCGATTTAATCGCAGATACTGTATGACTATCCGCGATTCACGCAATGAATGTGCTATACAGTTATAAAGCTATTATTACTGCGCCCGTCACCCTGAGACATAAGTTCACAAGTACTGTGTGCACAGGCACAATTGCAGAATTTCACCAGCACCTTTACTGCTTGACGGCAGAAATAGGTAAGGTGGCAGTACTTCCCTGGACAATCTCTTTTTCAAGGAGCCTTACTACTACTATTGTATTATTGTTTACAGTTCTCTCATACACAAATATCATGCAAGCCAAGAAGAAATAAGTAATCTGAATGCAGTGGTGTTAGAAAGCAAAGAGAAGCATCGTATAAGTGTTGAACACAATGCATTATCACAACAAAAATGTACACAACTGGAAAAGGTAATTTTTTGTTGATTTGCATTCTCGCCATATTTGCTGAGGTCATTCTATATCCGAAACTAAACCCAAACCACTAAAAAAATAAATCAAAAACAAATTTCCTAAATTCTTATTTTTTTTATTTAACTGCGGTAAACATCGTTTCACAATCACCTGATCCTGCTTGATCCAAAGGTCATTTGACTTGCACCGGAGGAACAGAGAAAGTGTTGCTCGTTCTTTCTCAAACGTTGCGCACGCGCCTGCCTAGTGCGCTAGCTTACGCATAAGGACGAGGTGGGAGGCCGAACTCGCCGCAATTTTAGTGCTCTATTACCTAGTCTCTCATGAAGTGTCAGTCTGTGCAGTGGCGGACTGCCCTCGCGCAGTGCATACGATTTAGGGACAATTTTGCAAAACTTGTTTAGATACAATTTGCTAGAATACTGAACAGATGTTTTTTGAACATTTTTAAATGATTTAGCATTATTTTTTATTATGAATTTAAATTTAAAATCTAAAAATTGTAATACGGCGAGAATTCCAATCAACTCACTGTATTTGCATGTTTGTAGTTAATTAAAGCTCACTGCTAGTTGCTGTTTGGAAGTACTAAATCATTAGCAGTAATGTGCGGCTGAATCATGTCTAATATCGTTACGATTGGTTAGGTATTGAAATTTTAAACAAAACTATGTTCAGTAGTGTCAGCAACATCGTTATCCACGTCCCAACTTCACCCACTGCTGTTCTCCATGTATGTCTTCTTTAGTTTGTCCAATCAACCATAATCTTGCACTAGTCTGACTCATCTACAGCTTGTGACTTGATGACCCATATTTCCACAAGTAATGGAACCAACTATGTAATCATTAGAAACATATAAGTAATGTTGGAATAATTTTTGTTAAATAAAATGGACAAAATAGAAACTTCCTCGTAACCTGCTCTGCCTCCACCTGCAAGGGGGCAGTGTTTGTTATCAACGTTCAGAGGGCAATGCTTGCAATGGCATATGACATGCAATTCAAGGGTGCTGGTTTCTTATAATTTGTGCTTCACATATTGTGTTTTTCTTGAATATTTTAGAATTATCCTTTTCGTTCAGATGTCACACATATCTGCGCGAAAAAGATAATCGAACTTGTTTGTGTGGCAGAGTCTGATATGCCACACAAAAAATGGGCTATGTCTTTCATAGAGCATTGACCCATTGACATGTTTTTTATTATTAATATGTATTTTCTTAATTTTTATTATATTGCATGTTAAATAAAGTACTTGATGACATTGATTGACATGCTTAAACGAATTGTTTCAGGATTTGGAAATGCTTCAACAGTCCAACAAAGACTTAGTAGAAAAGGTGATGATTTCCGAAAGTCGTATTGCAGCGATGCAGTCTCATACATATCAGCTTGAGGTATTGTAACAATAGATAATACTTGCTTTATTTTACTAGATATAAGATCCATATCTTTATCACTCCGAAATCGGAATGAATATACCAGTAAACTAGTAACCAGTAATTAGGGGATTCTTGGCACCTCGTCAATGAGATCAAACCAGTAAAATGTGAGATTACTTAAGATCACTGTCCTGTGAGTGTGTTTCAAAAGGCAAAGTTTGATCCTATTTTGGATTTTAAATATCAATATTTAACTAAATAACATTCAGTACACAAGATGTAGAAACTAATAACCACATAATGGTAGACTGTCATTTGTCAGTTTAAAATTGAAATATAATATTAATTTTTAAATTAGACGAGTCACTTTATAAACCCCGATTTTATGACATGCCCTTTTTCTGCCAGATTCCTATAGTTTAAACTAATACAAATGCGAGAGTAGAACACTGGTGTGATAACATATATGTATAGTTTCAAAGAAAAAAAATTGAAAATGGGGTAATTTTCGTCCAGAGAATTAAAAATCTTAATTCATCATATTTGGAAAATATTGGGCAACCGACTTAATCGTTCAATAAAACCATAAATGACATACATTTTAAACTAATCGGCAGCAACAAAGGTTCATTTGTTACGAGGTTATTTGTTTTTCCCCGTTTTTATTTTTTTTTCCCCGTTTTTATTTTTTTTACTTCAGTAATTGACGTACGAGATTTTTACACCATTGGTTGCTTTACTTGTCTTCTACATACCCTAAAATTATCATGAACTAATACCGTGGATTATTGTAATTATCAGCCAAAAAACAAATATCCGAATTTTCGACGTCAGGGTTGTCACTTAATAAAAATATATTTTTGACCGATTAAAAAACAAAGTTTTATAATTCGATCTAGGGGCGTACTATAACCTTACCAAAAACAATCTTATTTCAATGTAAGCTTATTATAATATTACTCATATTCGTACCATGACGAACCTGTCAACCAAGTAATGAATTATTGCAAAAGTGATTGAAGGAACGAATGATTTCCCAATATTGTCTATTCTTTACTAAAAATAGGAAAGAGATAACGCTATGTGAACTATATAATGTCATCTCTTTTTTGATGTTCCGAATCGTCTTATCGTAGTATAATGTTTAAGTACTTAATGTTATTTACATTCAGAGAAATTTGACTGTTAAAAAAAGAAAACTATGTAATAATAGAATCTATTATGTAATTTTAATAGATTTTATTATTACATACTTTTTTTTAAACATATTATTAATTATTTTCAATAATTTTTCCGCATTTTCATGAAGAAAAATAGATAAAACAAGCCGAGTCTTGATAGTCACATTGTGAATTCGGAATTATAGTCTAGAGTCAACTATTATCTTCACCAAGGAGCATGTAGATGACGTTTGATGATGTTGGGCGTTAACTAATTAAATTTCAGACTAAAAAATCAATTCAATTAAAATCAATTGCAACGTCGCAATAAGTTTTAAAAGCAATTGTGTGGGTTAGGGGTTTGGTTGAGTGGGTGGGTGAGTGACCCACCCACACACCCACCACAGACCCCACTCCTAACCCACCCTCTAACCCACACCCTAACATCCCCCCTAACCCACCCCTGAACCCACCCCATAACCCACCCCCCTGAACTCAACCCCTAACCCACCACCAAACCCACCACCAAACCCACCACCTTACCTACCCCCTCACCCGCCCCTTCACTCACTGCCACCCACTCACTCACTCACCCACTCACCCATATGCCCTATAAATTTCATAATTGTCAGTTTTAATTGTTAATCAAAAACATTGAAAAGATTGAAAATTGATTAATTCTTAATTGTAGATATGCGCCGATTAACGATTGATTAATTGTTAGATTGTTAATTGCTGTTCCGCAATTGACAATTAATTAATTGACAATCTTTAATTGCCTGAACAATTAAATTTTGCCCAACACTGCCTGTAATTTCACCAGCTCCCTTACCCTTCGAAACCAAAACGCTCACATTACTGCTTGGCGGCAGTAATAGGTAAGGTGGCAGTACATCCCTGGACGAATTCTTTCACAAGGAGCTTTACTGCTACTAATTGTACATACGTACGAGTATCTGATTTTTTTAAATAACAATGTTAAATATGTTGCAGACACTAATAAAAGAACATGAAACAACAATATTATCGACGAGAAAAAAGTTTATCTCAGAAAAAGACAAGCTTAAAGATCTTCAAAACAAGATCACAGAACTAAATAAGCAGAAAAAAGTTTTTATGAAACATCTAGCCATCTTTGCAAGCGTCGTATTTGAAAGAAGTAAGTTATAAGCAATATTGTTATACGAAATTATGTAATTTACAGGTGATTTTGAACATGTGACATCTGTTACTTGACCCAAGAATTCAAGGGTTGAAATAATGGGCTCCCTTGGTTTCAGTACCACTACCATGCCACGGTCTTGCAGTCGTTTCTTGTTCAAACTTGACTGAATACCTTTATCTTTGATGAGATGAGAAGTGCTTGATGAAATGTGAAATGGACTCCATAAAATTTGTTTGTTTTTTTTTCAGGAAAGCTGAGCCAGAAGAAAAAAGCAAAATTTGAAATCTACAAGAATTCAAGTCTCTACAAAGATGATGACATCTTCAGCGACGAGGAAATAGATGGTGCAGTTACTTCACCATTTGATTCCAAAGAGTTTCTCAATAACAACAATTTACAGGTAATGTATGATTTTGACGTGGTAACCTATCACAAACTCTAATTTATTTTTTCCGAAATAACGTTCGAATTTTCCCTACCCCGAAAACCGAATTATAACGAAACCGTTGTTCTTTCAGGACATGTTGGATGTTTATCGCAAAGACACGATTAGGTTCGGTTAAGTTAGGTTTAAAAGAAAAAACATTTTCCACTCAAAATTACTTTCGAGGTTTCGAGCAAACGTTATTTCTGGAAACTTGCGAATTACTGATAGCTAACCTTTTGACGTATATTGTAGCAATAAGAACACAAAATACGTATCCAAACATGTTGTTTAAATATAAGTTTTTGTGTAAAGCTTCGCTACGTTTTTGTGTAAAGCTTCTCAACGTTTTTTCTATATGTAAGTTAATTTGTTTTAATTTACAGGACCTTAATTGTGCAATTCAAGTGAATGTGAAGGAATTGGAAAATCTTGGAGATAACATAAAGAAAGGTTTATTTGAGTTAGAGACTATTGACATAGGTAGTATTGATACTGGTAGAGGATCATCTATTGCCTCCAGTCCACCAGAATATTTCCCTGACAGTCCTTTAAACGTAGAAGATGTGAAGAATAAAGTGAAATTGATGGATAAAAGCACAAGTCCGCCTAGATTTGAACCTTTAAGCCCAACAAGGAAACCCAAAACAACTTTTGCTGATAATTCGACAAATCATAAAATCATAGTAGATAAAGCGGTCAGTCCAATAAAGTTCACTGATTCTTTGAAATTTGACAAATTTGGCCAGACAAGCTCCACATTTCACAATGATAATATTGCAAAGTATGACGTTCATGAAAGTAACAATGATAGGGAAATCGAACTGATATTCCGGAACATGCGATTTGAACACAGCTTGATAACACCAATGCCTACGTCTCCGTCGAGATTAAGCGATGTCGAAGATCGAAGTCTGTCCACCATATTTGAATCATGTGAGGGTGCAGATCTTGCGAAACTAAACGATGAAAATAAGAAACTTCAGTCAAATATTGTGTTGATAAAGAAAGAAATGATGAAATTAAAGAGATTCGTACAAAGAATGGGTTTGGATGACGAGTTTAATGAGTATGTGGGTGTATCATTAATAAATGAGATAAATGCTGAGGATACTGTTGCTTTAGAGATTGCTGAAATGGAAAATCGTGCGAGTCCAGTGCGTTCTATTGACAACGACGATAATATTACTCTAGATCTAGATGATTATGAGGATCATGTTACTCCGCCTGTAAACAACGATGATGTGTTGTTGTTTGAGCCAGACAAGACGCTATTAGCGACGCTAACAGAAGAACAAGACTCTTCAAATGTTGAATGTACTGAAAATGGTCAATTTGCTTCGTGTAAGGATTGTGAAGCCAGCAAAAAGACGGCTAAGGCGAGAAAACTAAGTAAGCTTGATAAACTGAGAAAGAGAATGTTACCTAAAAGTAAAATTAGAAGGCTTGGGGGTCCACCTAAAAGATTACTACGCAGTATGACAAAGCAATTGTCGCCTTATAGCAGATCATCGCCAGTTTTATCGAAGCAACAAGAAGCCTATGCTAAAGCAGTGCTTATTTGGAAACAGATGAGCTCTAAACAAAAAGTTATTTATGAAAAAGGCAATGCAAAGCCCTCAATTAGTAAAGAAACCAAAAATTCTAATGGACATGAATACAAAACTCAATCGAAAAATGAATTGTCTTCAAACAAACAGACTAACACATCATGGAAAATTAGCGAAACGGGAAATGAGAAAGAATCCTACGGTATTAGAACAAGAAAGTCATCAATTTCATTACCTGATAGTCCATTTCCTGATCATAACAATATTAATAGTATAAAGTCAGACGAAGCTTTATTTATGGCCTCATTAAGCGAAAAAGTGCAGAAATTACAAAAAGAGCATACTAATATTATAAATACCTTCAAAAATACCGTGCAGTTATCGAGCGGTGCAAAATCGCTCAAGGTTAATTCACCTGCGGAATCTGACATACGATCTAAGACAATTTTGCGAAGTTCATCAACTACAGAAAGAAACGAAGATAATTCAAATAAATCAAATACTGATAATGTGGTTTTACGTTCCGATCTCAAATCTCCATCTAAAAATGACCCTGAGAACATAAAAATACAAACCAGAGGGAGTATAAGACGAGCTTCTCAGGAGGCTAGGGAGAAAAGCGATGAAGAAGAAATTTCAAATAACAAAGATACACATATTGAAAATGTGAATTCTCCAGAACGCCGAGGACGGCATAAACATTTAAACAAAACAGAAATACAATGTAGGAGAATACTTCGTAGTTCTAATCAGCTGCCGGATTCTCCAAATAGTCGTGAAAGCCAGAAACTAGGCAGTTCAGTTTCTGACACAGATACAAAACAGCACGGTGTTCCTTCCCAGCTACAGGGATATCAGAGTACATCCACTGATAATACTTTAATATGTAGTGGTACAAATAGTCGCCTATCTTCGATACAACAATCGGACAAAAAGGCTCCACAAGAAGATTGCGATGAAATTGATAACGATACATCACCGCTGAAAAGGAAGGGTCGTAAACGAAAACTTCAGGATATCCCAGCAAAACAGAGTAAGAGAACATTGCGTAGTTCAGCTGTTCTTCAGCCGAGCATTGTAAACAATAACGATAAAATGGTAGCTAATCCATCTTCAGCAACTTGTAATGAGATGAAACATGGAGATAAAGTGAAGTCACTTATTGATGATACTGAAAAGGAAACCAATAGGAATTTGCGTAATAATAAGCAACAATCTAATGTCAAGAATAAACTTGACAATAACGCAGATAATAAAAATATTAATAATGATTATACTGAAACTAATGCAACCACCAACGAAAAAGATTCGATTATATTCGTGACATCTTTGGAAAAACAATCAAATGAACATTCCAATCAAGTTATATTCCATGAGGCGAGTGAGGAACCAAAGAATAATTGTAAACAAAGTATCGAAAATGATACTTACGTAAGTCACACTCGTATAGTAGATAACCGGCGAAATAGTATCATATGCAAAGCAATAGAAAAGTATAGATTCAATCACGCCACAAATTCTATGAAGAAATTGCCAGGTATTGATTTTTTAAATTATTTTTGTGTGTTTATATTTTTAGGTGCAATGCATATAACAATATATTTTGTTTTCAGATGCTGTACTTGATACAATTAGTAAGAAGTTGGAAGAGAGCATTGAGCATATTATTAAACTACCTGTAAGAGACCGTATTCAAGGAATGAATAAGTTGGTTGAAGATATAAGTAATTTGAAAGAGAAACACTTCATAGCTGGTTTAATGAAGTACCTATCTGACCCAAGTAGGAAGGACGAATTGTATAACAAAGATAATGTCCATCCAGCACCATCAATGTCAAAATCTGAACAAGTGTTATTGTATCTCTTGAATAAACTTAAACGAGTTTGGCCAAATATTTATGACTGTCTTCTAAAGAATATAGAATACGCATTGTTCAGACTAAACCGGACGCCCAAATTTGAAATAATTGAAAGCATGTCGCATTTCTACGCCGTCGTCTGCCGGTACATTGATGATAAGAGTCGTCTTAGACTTTTCCTTATATCTGCAATGTACTGCATTCAGTTCAAATCATACCCACTGATAAAACAGTGCCTGGAAGTGTGGATGCATATTTTGCCTCTGGCACATATGGGGATGGGTAAGTTCATGTTTATTTCTGAAATTTGTAACTGAGTACTATAATGTATTTATTGTGTATCATTTGTTATACTTTTTTTTAAAATAATTTTTTCAGCAAAGAGCCCTCTGGTTACCTGCTGCATATATTTGTTACACTTCTATAAATGTGAGGATAAATATAATAGAGTACAAGACATTAGGAACATATTAGCTAAAACCTACTTCTATAAAACTACAGAGTGGAATGAACCCAGAATTTTGGAAATGTTTAAGTCGGCAATTGTTGACTTAAGAGGTAAAACATGTTATTACTTATTGATATTGTTGTACCATAAAATAAAAAATATGAAATGTTTTTCGATTACTGAAAATAATACCGTGATACCTTTGCATTCTTTTGCAGACTCGCCTATCGAAAGAAAAATGTTGAGATTAGCACTAATAATACTGGCTAAACGTCATGGACCTCGTTGGTGCCAGAACAACATTATCAAAACTATACTCAAACCCCTCATTGAAAAAGAAAATATCCTTGAAAGAACAAAAGCGTTCTGCATATCAGTGTTGGGAGCCCTGCTCAAGCCATACCCAGCCGATATGAAAGTCCATTGTGAAATTACAATCAACGAGCTTCTTGACATGTTGAAAGGCAATCGTAAGTATCTATTTATGTGGTTGCATCATTGTTGAACTGCCCCCATGGCCAGACGGTTAACATGCTGGACTGCCACGCAGTGATCCCGGGTTCGATTTCCGGGCCGGGCGTAATATTTATATGGCCTACATTTATTTCTCTCGTGAGTTTGGATGTAATTTGTGGTTGTCTATGTGCGTCTCTGGCACCCGCGTAACAGGGTTTCCCTAGGTTGCGAATGTGTGAGTTATTGTTTAATTAGCCATTCAATGAATGACCATAATAACTACTATATAATCTGAGGAAGAGTTTTCCCATTGCATTATAATTCAGTTTGCACAGGTGGTAATTGTAAGGTAAGACGTATCTTGTTCCTGGCTTTATAAGGACAATGTACGACGTGAAACACTAAGCGCGGCTGGTAAGCTGTAAGCTAAAGATTTTTCCTCACATATACCGCTCTGACATGGAAAAACACGACAGTACAATTAAATGCTTATAGTTTTTGTTTTAGCCAAGCTGTTTATTTAAGCGAAGACTTTAACTCTTCCACACTTTCTACAATATTACATTGATTAAATAATGAGCCGTTGTTACAGCTTCGTCCGCCATACAGGAAGCAATATATACAAGTTTGATACAAATAAGCAAGCATAACCAGACTCGTGTTGTTCAAGCATTGCTCTCTTGGTGCCCACAAACAATTTCTCAAGATATGAAGAGTGTTATCAAAAATTTTGTGAAAGAAAAACCTGTGAAGATCTGGAAGTCCGTCTTATCCAATATACCACTGGTTGAGTAGAAGTCAGTGTGTTGGTAAAACATTGTAGTGACCAAGTGTACTGACACGTGTGACATCATTCATCATTGTCATCGTATTTCCTGTGATTTATGTAAATATTGAACTTCATTTTTGAAGTGTCTAATAATTAAGATTTTCTTAGAATAGGGAATAAACATAAAAAAGCAATGTTTTTTTTTATTTCATTGACTTATTTATTACTAGTTATATAACCTAGTTAATATTAAGTTTGTATACATTTTAAATGTGGAATGGTGGCCATTTAGTAGTTAGTTTTATATTTTTTAATTTCAACCATTATCACGTGAATATTGACCAATTGCGTTCGCGCACTGGGGGTAAGTAGCTTGGCGAATTTGTGATAATACTGGACAAAGTTAGTGAGAGCCATCTGCAATAGTCCAGATCCCGTGACTAGATTAGGAAATGAGACTAGCACTTCTCTGTGGATCTCTTCAAGACTTTGTTTCCATCCTGCACTAAAAGAAGCTACTAATGACAAAGATTTTTTTTCTAGAGTAGCTAATTGCACTTTGTTGTCACCTTCAAGAAGTTGTTCCCCTTCTTTCACAAACTGCATCATGCCACCGAAATGCGGACTCAGTATCTCTTCAACATATTCTGAACTTCTTGCTTGTAACTGCTCTCGGAAACTTTCTGCTTCCTTTGTGTTATCTCTTGTCCTTTCCATTAATATACTTAATACCATGTCGTAATTGTTTATTAAGAATATAAGTTGCTGTATTCTTTGAGGGAATTCTGCCGCCATTTTTAACAGGAAACAATGAACTTCATCTTGAAGGATGAGCAACAAGTTACTTAGCTCTTCAGAGGGAAATTGCTCACTCAAACTTAACATAGCAGCTGAAAATTCTGCATATCTTCTTGTGATCTGAAATAAAAATATAAAGTAAGTAGTTCTTCTTTATTTTTATTACTGTTAAATTTTTTAATTAAAATTGTATGTCATAAGAAATCTTACATAGTGAGGTCCCATTTCCTTGTTGGATAGTTTAGCTGGATCACACTCCCTGACGCTCTGGATATTCAATTTCAAGACATATTCTATTCTTGGCCAGAGAGTGCCATGTAAGGAATCCCAGTAACTGCAAAGACACACATTTTATTTACTTATATTTAGTTACATAATGTAAATTTATTGTAATTAAATAAATGTAATTTTAGATACCTGTCTAATGCACCAACGGCTCTTTTGTGACACATCCATCTGTATCGGTTTATTAATTGTATACACAGAAACAGGGCAAGGCAATCATAGCATTCCAGAACATAATTTTCCACATTTTTCTAAAACAAAAAAGCAAGCAGTGTAGTTTTCAAACAAAACATTTATGGATGAAGTGTGATCAGGGTATATAAATTTCTTTATTGGATTGCGCTAATGATTTTACAATTTTTTTTTCAGACTTCTTTTGTAGCTGTATTTCTCTTTTTTTTTTGTACTATTAATTTGTCTCAGTATGCTATAAAGAATATTTGTATTGTATGAACTACTTTTATTAGTTTACTTTTATTAGTAACACTGGTTTTTGTGTTAAATTGTAAAAAAAAGTGTATTTCATACCACCAACAAAGACAATGTCTTTCCAAGTATCCTGTCAAATAGTTCTTGTGCATGGCTGCCTTTTACATGGAAGAACTCTGTTGTGAATAAGTACTCCCTACAACCATTGTCCACTAAGGCATATTGAAGACTTCTAAATAGTGCTTCATAAGAATACTGTAAAGAATAAATTAAGATTCTGGTAACACATAATCTGATTACAGAAACGCATTTATAACCCACATTGTATATATAACATTCAATACCGACAAAGACTAGTATGACTGGTTTTTCTTAAGATTTTTATGACATACCTTGGTTTTTTGTTGAACATGCGGCACAATAATAGGTGCTTCAAGTTGTTGTGCTAGTACATCACCTCGGTTACCAATTGTAAATATTGTACTTTTATTTTTCAGATTTGCCTTCTGGAAAAAGCCACCCTTGGATCCATCCTCAATACCCATCAAGTCATCCTTAGTAGGCGCCTCCTCATACTTTAATTTATCTAATCTTGACGCATAAGACTTAAAATACGAGTAATATACTTTGCTCAGCGTATCTATGTACTCATTGCATATTTCCTGCGCAACATTTCTTTCATTGGCCAATACAAATTCAAAGAAAAACTTATATTTTAACATAGCATTTTGTGGTATTTGATAATTAGCCATAGGTTTACGGAATTTATAGATCTGTTCCAAAATATATGTTCTTATTTTAGCTACAGCTTTTATTTTGAGTCTGTCTAACACATCTTTTACATCTTGACAGGCTTTAGTTTCTTTGAAATCTTGTTCTTTGACAAAGTTAAGTTTTTGGTTCAAAATTGCCAGCTGGACCATGAACTCCTTGTCAGTTACAGGAACATTGTTGATACCACTGTAAGTTAATATAATTACACAGGCATTATTTAGGTGTTATTCCAAACTATATCATGCATGTGGACAGTAAAAACTTCATCATGTAACATAATTGTCACAAATATTATACAATGTCAGTTCTTCAAGGTCTTCAGCAGACCCAGTGGGGCTAGCACGACAGAGCAACTTGTGTGGGAGCGAGATATTGCTCAATTATATTATTGCTCAATGACATTGAGAATATCAGTACCTCACACATGTCATGCTAGTGCTGGTGGAGGGTGCTGACATTCTGACGTCCAGTAGCAGACACCAGCCTGTCACACCATACAGTTTCAGACTTCAAGTACCATCCCAGAAATGTGGAAGTACACACTCTATTATTTATATTATTATTATACATAGACTTTTTGATACTTACAATATAACTGTTTCAGACACGGCCATATCTTCAATGAAGGAAGAGAGTGGTCCCTTCAGGACTTGCCTGTTGGACAACTGCACTGACATACTGACAGAGCGTTTCTGCAAGCTAATTATCTCATTGCTAATGCTGCCTAAATCATTCTGAAAATATGAGGATTATTGACATTGAAATTTGGATTTTATTTTATGTACTACATGAAAAGTACTTTAAATATGAACAACTAGCCATTAAAAGATTTGGACATACCATATGGCGAAAATGTTAATTTTTTTGTATCAAGCTAAACTGGAATCATGAATTAATTGGCTTTTAAAGGTACTAATTTAAATTCTCTCTTAATCCTAAGAACAGCTGATAGAGTGGTCTTTAATTCTAATAGAAAATGAATATGGTCAATATACCACAAAGTAAAGGCTTTACCTGAAACGTCATCAGCATGCTCTCCATGCGTGCCAGGATATCGTCACACTCCTCAATCTGATTGTGTAATGATCCTATGTTATCGCTTTCCTTCAAGTAATCCGCCACAGAGTTCTTTTCAGCTTCCTTTATACCCTTATCGATTTGTAGTGCATATTCTCTAAGATCTGTGCCTTTACGTAGTACTTCTTGTATTTCGATATCTTCAAGGTTTTTATCCAATCCCTCTTTTGTATCATCATTCATTGTAAAAATGTTGTATGAACGATAAACCACAGAACACCACAGATTACTATATACTAGTCAGGGACATAACACTATCGAATCTATTTTATAAACCCAGAGTTCCAAACTTTTAGAAATCAGCAAGTTGGTGATTGGGTTTGACATTTGATTTGACACTTTTTTATTTGGGTAGCCAAACAAAAATTTTACCATACAGCCTCTTCATGAGTAATGTTTTTTTTTCTTTGACAAGTGCCGGCCATCCGTTTGGGAGCTTATAGTGCCCTTAGACTATTGGAAACCTTTATTTTATTCTTAGAGGTTATTTTATTTATTCCTTTATTCGGGAGTCCGTAGCTACTACGTGGGAGCTGGTCCAATTTCTTGCCATCAGATATATTGAAGCGTAATAAGCAATCATATGGTAAAATAATATCGAATTACTCCTTTATTTTTTTCCATCCTCTAAGATAGTGCCTCAAACTGACACACAGTCAAAGGCTTCAAACATTTTTTCCATCCTGTAAGGCTAAGAACTCATGGAGCGGTTTTCACCCGCGTCCGCCGCGGTTGCAGGACCGCGACCTCCGAAGAATGTAGAATGTAAAATTTAGTAGCACATTTCACGACGCGTTTTACGCCCGCAGCGGAGACGGTTGCTCGCGGCGGCCGCAAACCGCACGGGACACGGTCACCCCGCGCGCTTGGCGGGCGTCACTCGTGGATTCTGCGTTCGGTTCGCAGGCGACGCGTTACACGCGTGCGGGTTAGGTCTTTCTTATCCACGCCATTTTGTGATTGATTTTCGATTTGGCAGCGCGTGTCAATTTCTCAAGTTATGGATGTTGAAGTCGATCAATTAATTTCCTACCAGTTATCATTTTTCTTAAAAGTTCTGAATAAGTACAAGGAAGGTACTTTACTTCCTTCGGCGACCTCGGCGGCTTATCGAGGAGATGTTGTAAATTGTAGGGATGGACGAATGTTATATATATATATACACTATGGTTGGTAGATCTATGGATATAATTGACACTGTAAATGTCTTCTGCAAAATAATAAAAATGCTTGGATTATGTTAATATTAGTTTATTTCAATAGGGACATCCGAATAAAATTAAAGAATTTGTCTTTTCGTTTTTTTAACTCATTATTAATAAGAACAACAGATAATTCGTAACGATTTCTTTCCGGAATCAGAGGATGCACCCTGAATCTTTCAGGCCTTATTCTTTTAATTCTTCGATGAAGTAAGTATAACGCAATAGCTCGTTTTTGATGTGAATCCATGGCGACGTCTGAGACTTAACTGAAATAACCGCGCGCCTTGCGATCCCGCCAAGTTTGCGGGCCGTTCCGCAACCGCGGCGGGTACGTGACCGCACAAACCTGTGTATCGTGAGTGTTGAAATAAAAACAGCTGTCCCGCAACCGCAGCGGGCGCGGGTCAAGACCGCTCCGTGAGTTCTGTCTCTTAGGCTAAGAACTCATGTAGCGGTTTTCGCCTGCGCCCGCCGCGGTTGCGGGACCGCGGCCTCCGAAGAATGTAGAAATGTATGCAAAATTTAGTAGCACATTGCACGACGCGTTTTACGCCCGCAGGGGAGATGATTGCTCGCGGCGGCCGCAAACTGCGCGTGGCGCGGTCACTCGCGCGCTTAGCGGGCATCGCCCGCGCACTCTGCGGTCGGTTCGCGGGCGACGCGTTGCACGCGCGCGAGTTGGGTCTTTCCTTCCCACGCCATTTTGTGATTGATTTTCGATTTGGCAGCGCGTGTTAATTTCTCAAGTTATGGATGTTGAAGTTGATCTGTGGCGGCTTTAGACGCCGCCTATTATCACCGGCTGGCTGTGGCAGTCTCTTTGGACGAGAGTCGCCAAGGAGAGTGTCACACTTGCCGTAAATGTTTGACAGTTTTTATTACATATAATTGTCATGTCAAGGATTGCAAATTGTTTGCTCGATTTGATACAATCCTGTAAAAACCACGAAACAAAATAATTATAATTATACGAGTAATTCACAAAGTTCATGAGGCCGTTTTATTGTTTGTTAGGGGAGCAATAAATTCCCCAAATTGGTGACCCCGACGTGATTTCTCGGCGGCCTCGAACATTTGCATGAAAAGTCCGACGTGATAAAAGTTAAAGAAAATAAGCTTACTAACATTTCTAAATACAGCGAAGAAGATGAAGTAATACAAATTGAAGGCCTCATACTCCTTTCTAACGCTCGCTGGAGTTTCCATAGAGGACCGGCTCCGACCTTTGGGTGACTGCGACTTGTAAGCAGTTACGTGCGAACATGCGTTCTACGTCATCTACCAGTGGTCGCGACGAGTCACGCGCCCGTCGACCGTTTGGATTTTGTATTTATTGTATTTTATAACCTTTTTTTTCCGACTTGACTTCCTGCCGGTAAGTGGTTTTCTTTAATATTTTATTACCCGTACCGAGGTGTGGTTCAAGGTTATGGATGAATTGAAGGCACAACTTGAGAAGCTCGCGGCTCAAAACGAGTCACTATTCCGACAAAACGTAGAGCTCAAAGCTAAACTAGCGGATGAACCTCCCCGCGCAGGCCCCTCCGCCTCAGAGGCTCAACAACCTTCACCCGTTCCAGCGGCTTATGGTGTTCTTAAATTAGCCCCATTTTGGTTTGACCGCCCAGCCGGATGGTTTGCTCACATAGAAGCTCAGTTCGCTTTATCAGCGATTACTCAGGACGAAACCAAGTACAACTATGTGGTATCACAGATAGATTCTAGGTTATCAAGAGATGTGGAGGATCCAGCCCCTCTCGGCCAGCGGTATAATGGATTAAGGCTGAAATGATTAAGCGGTTTTCGGCCAGCGAAGCTCAACGGATCAGGCAGCTTATTTCTGGGGAAGAGCTCGGTGATAGGAAACCAAGCGTGTTTCTTAGACACTTGCGCTCCCTGTCTGGCAACCTAACCGACGAGACCATTTTAAGAGAACTATTTCTCCAGAGACTCCCTAGGACGGTCCAGGCAATTTTGACAGCCCAGTCTGAGTTGAGCCTGGAAAAAATTGCTGAGCTGGCGGACAAAATTTTAGAAGTGACTCCCTCATCTACTGGGATTATGTGCGCCACTGCGCCACCCGCGCCTTCTAACAATGAGTTAGTCCCCATCATTGCCCAAATACAGGCACTCAGTAAGCAGGTAGCGGCTTTGTCTACACGTCAGTTGCGATCAAGGTCCAGTTCTCGCCGATCTTGCCCTAGATCAAGGTCCGCGACGCCTGAAGGCTTGTGCTGGTACCACAGTCGGTACCAGAGCAAAGCTGTCAAATGTATCCGGCCGTGCTCCTGGTCAGATCCGATTCCGGAAAACCAAGGAATCAGTCAACGGTAATGGCGACAGCTGACTGCAGCCAATTCTCTGGTCGTCGCCTGTTTGTCACTGACAAGGTAACCAAATTTAAATTCTTGCTTGACACCGGTTCCGACCTTTCCTGTTTCCCTCGGAAACTTCTGTCGACTCAATGCAAAGTTTCCGATTATACTCTTAGTGCCGCCAATGGCACCAGTATAAAAACATATGGCAGTCGCACATTTTCATTAAATCTCGGTCTCCGTCGCGAATTCAGATGGAATTTCACTATTGCAGACGTCGAGACAGCTATCATTGGCTCCGATTTTCTGGCCTATTTCAATCTACTCCCGGACTGCCGCAACAAACTGTTACGAGATGGTTCTACCAGGCTTTCTGTTCCTGCCTCCATCTGTAATGTAAGTCAACTCAGTGTTAAGGCTGTCGTTTCTGACAATAAATTTGCACGCCTGCTTTTAGACTTCCCGGAAATTACCAAACCGCCTGGTCTTCCGAGAGTCGTCAAGCACAACACTCTGCATTACATCAAAACCACAGATGGTCCACCAGTTTCTTGCCGGCCCCGTCGTTTGGCCCCTCAAAAACTGGCAGACGCTAAAAAAGAAATTGTAAAGATGGTGCGCTCCGGTACTGCAAGGCCCTCAGATAGCCCGTGGTCGTTTCCGCTGCACTTGACCTTGAAGAAGGACAGCACCTGGCGCCCTTGTGGCGATTATCGTAGTCTGAATGCCAGGACCATTCCGGATCGTTACCCGGTGAGGCATATTCATGACTTTGCCAATAGCCTCAGCGGAGCCACCGTTTTCAGCACCCTTGACCTAGTATAGGCTTATCACCAAATTCCTGTGGCTCAAGAGGACATTCCCAAGACAGCTATTACCACTCCATTTGGCCTATTCGAATTCCCATTCATGACCTTCGGTTTGAGGAATGCGGGTCAAACCTTTCAAAGGTTCATCGATGAGGTCAAACGGGGTCTGGATTTCTGTTTTCCTTATGTGGACGATTTCCTCATCTTCTCTAAGGACGAGGCTCACCACAAGGACCACCTGCGATTCTTTTCCGCGGCGGGTACGTGACCGCACAAACCTGTGGTATCGTGAGTGTTGAAATAAAACAGCTGTCCTGCAACCGCAGCAGGCGCGGGTCAAAACGGCTTCGTAAGTTCTGTCTCTAAGCTTCAAACTCCACTCTATTTGCGTCAGGGGTTAAAAAGTATTCGCTTTTTCCATATGTGTATAACTCAAACTGTGTCTATAGGGAATTATGTTTCCTTAAAGGCTTGGGCGAATGTCAGTTTCGTTTTGTAAAATAAATAAATAAAAATACTTTATTTCGTTTCAAATATTAACAAAATTGCATACAAGGCTGAGACCTTCTTTGAAGCATACTTGAAGAATACTTGTATCAGGAGATCTCGCTCCTCTATAACTAGTGCTTAAAAATAATTTAAAAATTACAATAAATACATAATAATAAATGTTCCTTCCTAGATAATTTATTTCATATCTGTCTTATATTTTTTGACCATCTTTGTTGAAATTTTGACCAATAAGGATTAAGGCTGTATATTCCGGTACAGTAAAATCAGTATACAAAAAATCCCTGTCTTTTTTGTATATTTGTTTTACGTTATCGGAATATAAAGCCTTAATCCTTATTGGTCAAAATTTCAATAACTTACTCCTTTTTTACAAATCCTGTATTCAAAATACTTTCTTTCTTTTTTTGAGTATGTAAGATCATTGACTTTTTTCTTAATTAAAATGGAATAATTATTTTTTTATGAAGAGAACGCTGACATTTTATTTTTGTTTTTATTACTTATATATGTGTTTTTATTACTATGGTATACGCGTGGGCTATAAGGTGATATTGTGTATTTTATTTCAAAATTAATTTGACATTAGTAATCATATTACGTATATCATATTACGGCCTTGCAAACGTGCAACTTGTGTCCAAAAAAGGAAGCAGAGGTGACTCCGTCAACTATAGACCTATCTCTGTCACTTTCATACTCTGTAAGACTGTGGAACGTGTACGTACTTAATCGTCCCCGATAGCACATTGAAGACAACGATCTCCTTAGTGATCGCCAGTACGGATTCCGACAAGAGCGATCTATCGGGGATCTTCTTGTGTATACCTCTCACCTATATAGTGAAGTGAGGCTATAGACAGACATGGCGAAGCTCTTGCAGTGTCTTTAGGCATTTTCAAAGCACTTGACAAGGTCAGCAAGCTTCCCTCTTATAGGCTTTCCACTGACCTTTGCAATTGGATCTCGGAATTTCTTGAGGGAACGTTCGATTCGAGTTTTCTTAGATAGGCACCCTTCAGAACATCGGTCGATACATGCTGGAGTTCCTCAGGGTTCCGTACTGTCCGCAACTCCCTTTCTGCTGCATATCAACGATATGTTAATTCCAGATACCTTCGCGTATGATAGCACAATTGTAGACAGATACCGGACCAATCCAAGGGTTAGTGGAGAAGAAATCCAGTCTTGTCGAGAGTCCATAGTCGTTTGCATTTGACACAATTGATGCCAGTCTTGTCAAATTTAACGCTGCTATAACGCAGGCGTGTCTATTCTCCACTAAACGTAGTCCCTTTGACCTGACGACGACTTTATGTTATAGACCTGTCGTCCAATTTGAACTTCGGCAGTTACAATGAATCCATGACCAAAAATGCAGTCATGAAGCTTGGCATCCTTTCCAGGGTGAGGCGATACTTCACTTTAGTAGCAGTAGAGCTTCTTGTGAAAGAGTTCGTCCAGGGAAGTATTGCCACCTTGCCTATTTCTGCAGCCAAGCAGTAATATCAGCATTACTGTGTTCCGGTTTTGAAGGGTAAGGGTGCTGATGAAATTACAGGCACATGGGACTTGTCAACTTATGTCTCATGGTGGCGGGCGCAGTACTCTTCAAATCTTTGCGATTTAAAGCTCTTGAGTGGCACTACAACTGTTATGGACAGGCGTGCAGCTTACCGTAATGTTATAAAAAAAAGAATATCGGGGCAGTTGTTGTATGGACTACTGCTGCCACGTATACTACGTACGGATGGTTTTGTTAAAACCAACTGGCCACACTGGATTCATTAGAAAAGCGTGTCAGAAGGCTAACAGGTGACTCGGATTTAGTACAGGCAAAGCTGCAGAGCTTTGAACAACCGCCGTAAAATTGCTTACTTATTTCTGCAAGATATATTATGGAGAGTGTGCCATGGAATTGCATGATTTGATTCCGCCTTAGCTTAGCCATTCCATCATTGTGGGACTAGACGCAGACAGGGATTGCACGCCTATGCTGTGGATATTGCAAAGATTTCGCTTCTACATTCATATTGCGAACAGCAAAGGAGCGGAATTCCCTGTCTTTAGACTTTTCCCGAACGCTATAATTTGCGCCTTTTCAAAGCGACAGTGAATAGGTACCTACTATTTAAGTGTGCATGCAATATCCTCGTCCTCGTCGTCGCTTTCCATCAAGTGAGATGAGGTAAATGCGCACTACAAAAATAGTCTTCCGTGGAAAATACCTATTTTTCAGTTCTGAAAACTGACTTGTCGTATCGCGTAGTTACGTAGAACACTGTTCAACAAATACCTTTTTCCCTCTACGCTTAGTCGCTACCTCGAGGCGCTGTGTGGGTTACACTTCGATTCTAATCACTAAATCATGAATGTAGGTAGATTTGTTTATGTATCTTCTGCTATGTTATCTTAAAAGTTTTAGCTTACGTTAGGGGTTCGTGCTACAGGGATAAAAAATGAAAGATACTTAAGTTCTTTTGACGGAATACGCCAATATTATTTTGACGAAATTATGTATTTACAAAGAAAATTGTGTAACAATTAACAAAAAGCACATCGATCTATTTTCAGGCAAAACAAATGCCTTATAGTAGTCTTGTTAATATAAGGACTGTATTAGACGATTGAATATATTTTCATCTTAATTAATTTATTTACGTCTTACTTTAGGTTGTTCAATGTGCCGGGAACGGCTGTTATGTAGATATAAATTAAAAATTAAGAAATGCAAAGATTGTTAAGGATTTATTTCGGAATGTTTTGTTTTGGGAATTGAATGAAACACTTAAAATGCATGTTGCCTAGATAGATAATGTGCTTTTAAAGTAAAATCGATGTAGGTAGGGTAAGAGTATAAAAATAACCTGTTGACATAGGTGCACTCTTGGGTAACAATATGTGAAGCACAACCGAGAAATTATGAAATGGAACAACAAATTAGATTTTGTTCCATACACTTAGAGTAACGAGAAATAATCTGTTTATAAGATATTCTTATAAATCTACAAAATTAACTATCATAAAGGAGTTGTAACCATAGAGAAAAAGTCCAGCATTGGAATTTCATCAAAATATAGGTACCAACAACATATAAAATTATCACGCGTCTTTTTCCTTATGACTAATAAATGTACTTTGTGTTCACAGATTATAAATTCACTCACATTTTAGCAAACATGCAGTTAGAAGTCGATGATTTGTATTATACGTAGAATTTTGCGTTCTTAAAAATGTAATGTGTAGAAATTGCCGTAGCATTTTCATAAGATTGCTACGACGTAGCTACCTACCCATCTTAAATATATTACTTATTTAGTAGTGCAAGGAACGTTAGTTCGTTCTAGAACGTTCGTATGCTTAAGCTTCAACAAATGACTTTTATTTTACTTAAAGGCTTTTAGACATTTTAATTTCACTGTGCGTAGGTCACAGTCGACGTAGGCATAATGCCTTAGAATGATATAGGCAGAGTTTGTCGAAGCTAACTTTTCCTCTCTACCTAATGTTTATTATAGCTATCTACCTAATAACGAATCTATAATTAGATAGAAAATATATTTTATGATGTAATTAATATGTTTACTTACAAGAATAAATAAATAATTTTGTAGTATTTATACGTAATGAATTTATAATTCATTAAGATTAAGTAGATCATTGGTCCAGGAGGGATTTCACAGGACAGGAGTTCTTTTGAAATAGTCTAATGATTAAGTTTTAGCACCTACAGTATAAGACAAGCGTTAAACATTTTTTAGTTTTTTTCAATTGCGCGGATGTTTTTATCAAATAAAAATGTAGAGTCGATTCGGGCTCCTCGCATCACATGCTTGGTGTAGCGCAATACAATAAATTGTCTCTGCAATTAAAACAGTGATATGTTTACTATCAGTGTTTTGATACATATATAATATGTATCCTTTATATAAAAATATGAGAAATCGTCTACACTACCTATCTAGAAAGGTACTCTTTATAAGACACGTTGGATTTTTAAACGTTTATTCAATATATATATTAACGATGCTGAACTTTTCCTCAGGTCGCATATAACTATATTAATAACAAAGTACATCAACGTCCTAGCGTCTAAAATTATTATAAAATAATTTAAACCTAAAAAGGTAACTTCCGAAAATTGTCAGTTTGAATAGACACTCGAAAAGTGGGCGTCCACACTTCTCACTCACTCCATGTATATCAAAATGCGTTACTTGTAGTAAGTTAGCTGAGCTTTCCTAACACATTTTCATATAAAAGCTCGGTGCATTCGAGCTAAACTTTTAACATTTCTAAGTCTTGTGACTAGAGTTTTCTTAACTAATTAATACGTAGGAATATTTGTACGACAAGATGCCATAAATCACGAGCGGTAACTCAAATGCAGACTACTAAATACACAAAAATTTCAACAAAATCACACCCAAATACGACACGTATACGTCTACAATAAATTAAACTTAATCACTAGGACTTACATTAGAACGATTGTCTTCTTTGCCTAAACTATTATAGAAACTGATAGAATAAGCACGAACAGGTTTCGTGGGAGATCGAATCCTATAGCTCTAACTACTCTATAAAAATATCATTACGAGCTAAGTGATTATAAAAATAAGGAGTAAGGTCCTAGGTAGAAGTCGCATTTAAAGGCGGGAGTGGTCCTCGGATAATACGTAACGTGCAACTGTGAATAATTGTCGTCCTGTTCCGAATTTAATTTAATAAATGAACGAACAATAAAAATCTTAACACTAGTGGATAGATTTTGACCGACAATTAATTGTAGACACTGTTGCAAATTACGAACATAGAGTTCTGGGAACATTTATGATATGATTAAAATGGCAGGCTTGCGCGGAACATGTTTTCGATAAGCGGTGGAGCGGGAACCAGGTCCTCGAGCTTCAGGTAGAAGATGCGCTGCAGCCCTTGCACTGAAAGCGAACGCAGTTCGGGTAGTGCGCCCAGTACGCGGCTGAAGTGTGGCGCCACCCCCGCGCTAGCATTGCCTCCTGGCATGTGGGCCCGGAGGCATCCGATGATTTTCATTTGTAATTGTTCAACTCGGTGTGGTTCCTTCAGGCCGTGTCGCTCTGTGAACAATAGAAACCAATGTAATATGCATAACTAATTCCTAACTCGTTGATTATTTACTTGTATTTTCATTCATTTTTACGATGTTGAATAAACGTACCTGTGATTATTGTCAGTGCGCAAAGGCACGCAAATGTAGAAATATCAATGTCCATCGAATGCAGAGTGTTGCTGAAGTCTAGCACGGCGTGTAACCAGTCGCCGAAAGAGCGTTGGCACTGGCGCTTGTCGAGAACGAGACCGTTGCAGAAAGTCAGTTTGCTATCCTCTGGCCGCGTACGATATGCGAGTCGCAGCACGAATAACTCTAGCCGTGCCGATGCAAATAACTGTTCACGATCTTCAGGGCATAATTCGCTATATCCGGGTACTTTTTCCGCGAAAAGTTTGATCATATCAATGGACGTCGTTAACAAGGAATAGAACTGTTGAATAACTTCCGAGTCAGACACTGGTGGTTCCATAGCATTCGGCTCGCGATACTGGGAATAATCGAGATTCGCAAAATCGGGCGATGTATCAACATGGGCTCGGACTAGAGCGGTAATCAATGAAATGGGTGGGCTCGGCGGAGATTCTTGCGGGCATTTGGGTTTCGAGGGAAGTCGGCCCCGTCTGCCTTTCAATGAATCAGTCCTGACCACTTCTTTAACCATTCCAACAGCTAGGCATTTTTGGAATCGGCAGAATTGACATCTGTTTCGTCTTCTTTTGTCAACAGGGCAGGATTTTTCAGCTAAGCATACGTATTTAGATCCCTTTTGTACAGTTCTTTTAAAGAAACCCTTGCAGCCTTCGCATGTGCGGACTCCATAGTGCTGGCAGGCAGCGGTGTCACCGCATACCGCACAAAGTTGGCTTGGCGAGGAAGGAGCAGCGCGGGGTCCACTAGTTTCAGGCGGTGGGCCTCCTGGTGAACTCGACGCTGAACTGGGCGCTGACGCCTGCATGCAGTGCACCCTTCCATGTAATTTAGGGCTATCATTGGAGCTGCTGGATTCAGATCGTTGAACAGGCAACGAAGCCCTTCTCTGTCGCGAGGCTTGGTCAGTAGAAACATGTAGGTCAACTGAACTGGGAAACGGAGGTAAAGAATATGAATCCTGGGTTTGAGGTACACCTCCTGTATCGAATGTCGGGCTGCATGGTTGTGCTGGTGCGTAATAAGGGGCCGGAACATAGGGAATCGCTGGTTGATGATACTGGTATAATAATTGCGTCGATGCATGCCCTTGATGAGAATATGCACTGACGTTGTAACAGTCTTCATCCATCTTTATTCCAAATTCTGCCATTTCTTGTTTAGGATATCGAACTGAATAAGTTTCTTCAAAGCTAGGCAATGCTGGGGCAAGAGTTGGTGATGGGGTTTCGCTTACGGGCGTAGTACGCTGTGATTTAACTTCTGGAGGGATAGGAGCGTGAAACTCAACGTCGGGGAACGGATCGAGGTTTTCTTCTAAAATCTCAGAAGAATCTTCTTGGTATTGCGGCGACAACAAATCAGTGAAGGACGTACCGTAGTTGCTCTGAAATAGAAAAATTAATCGATAAAGTAGGCGTTACTGTTTCGGTAGGCGGTTATCTTCAGTGACCAATAGGGATACGCCAATGACGACGTATTTGTTTCACATGTGATGTTTTAGGACCTGATTCGTCCTGTGGATATTCGTGCGCCCGTAATTTTATGCAGGTGTACAATCATTAATTTTCTTTAGTATTTATCATCATTAGGGGAATACTTTTCGTACATAAATTATTAGAGTAGGGTAGTTGTAAGCTCTTATTTGACAGCAGTATTGGATAGATATATCAAGAATTATGTCATGAGTACATAATTACACACAGTATTATATAAATAGCAATTAGTAATGGTTACTTACGTGTGTCTGCAGCAGTAGCATGCTGGAGGAGTTGGACGATAGAGCGCTTGGCGAGCGCGGCTCTATAGCGCTCGGCCCTGCAACAAACAAACATATCTATCAATATTTATTGCGAAGTGAATAAATGAAATTTATTTTAAATAAAGTATATTCAATAGTTCGTAGTCACTACGGCATAACGGTCACGATTCAAGACGGGGAATGCATCGGAAAGCTCTGGACGTCACATTGACGGCACCGTCCTTTGAACTATCACGCTACGCCAGCCATGCATCATTTATATTTACCCTCCGCGAACATACTTTGATTCTTCCTTCACCACAAGTACACGTGATTGACTAATCGATAGTTCTCGTTGCTTATTCGACCTGTCAGCTACCCTCTCACAACCAGCAGTGACGACGAAACAGAAAGGTCTTTTAATTTATACGCCAGTTTTTGCCAACCGAATATTGGCGTTTTGAATACATCGTGTCACGGTGCTTGATTCGCCACGCCCCGAAAATTGAATCCTATGTATACGACTCATCTATGCCTGTTATAAGAACGTCCATGGAGAACACGGAAAGCGAGTCATTTTCACCTTTGGATAATAATATTAAAGTACATATTCGGGAAGCGCTATAGCGCGAAAATTTTTAGGGCGAAATGGCGATGGTTCCCTTGGGAGGTTATGAAATCAGTGGCATTTGCAGTTTCTATTATGTTAAGATCCATTAATTCCAGTCTTATTAAGCTATAAACAAAACAGAAGAGCTTTTGTTATTTTTTTATGAAAATAGTGGTCAAAGTTTATATTACAAAACAGAAATAAAATTTTAGTTAGTGACTCTAATAGATAGGGAGGAGCGATAGGGAATAGATAAAAAAGGTCTCCTTTTCCGAACACTTGGATTTAAAATCTGCGAAAACTAGTATTGCATAATATGCATATATTCTAAAGAAAATGATACTTAAATACTTATGTATATATTTAAATAGAGTCTGTGATAAAAATGAGTTATATTGCGCTTATCTATTCATAATAACGCTATATAGAGGACTATGAATTAAGTGATGCACAAATATTTTTTTACACACGTATAATTATTTTATGATTTGTGACTTTCGTTAATTCTTAATTTTGCTACGCATTTTATTTACTGTTTCAGCAAAGTTGATATAATCCCACATTTATTTAAAAAAATCTGACAATATTATAGTAGTAGTAGTAGTAGTAGTTTTTGTATATAGGTAATATATGAAATAGACTGACCACAATCATTTACGCGCACGCTTTTGTCTAAAAAATAGCATTAAAATATAATAGCCTTAGAATAGCATTAAATTGCGGCAAACACAGACGTACGTAATATTATAACTTATATAACATACAAAATATATTTTAAATACTACACTATACAATTAATTCAATAAGGTTGCTATTTAACAAAAGTTTATTTATTTCACTGTTAATTGTATTATAAGGTATGTTAACTTTAAGTTTATTTTTAGGTACTTTGGAACAACATTTTAATGCTATCTTTGTCATAAATATCGTAGGCAGGCAATGATAGCGTATTTATCGATACTGCAGTAAGTACTGAATAAATTGTACTGACATTACTGTCATTAAAAACTGAAATGTTTGTTAGAGCTTTGCAAAAATTTACTTTATACTTACCATAGATTTATTGTTAATCGTCTACAGCAAGTTCGTTTGTCGCTGAAGGGAGGTGTTTGATACAAAAAAAGGGTATTATTTTATTTAAGAAACCAATTTTAATACTTTTTGTTGAAATATTTTAAACTCTTTTGTTCTTATTGGTGCTTGAATACAAAAGTTTATCATTTATTTGTTCCGAATGTAATGAATCAAGTTTATAAATATTATTTTCCAATTAAATTTCTAGTAGAAAAAGTTAAATTTTAATAATTAGGCTATGTTAAGTTCATCGAGCCGATCAAATGCGGACCGGCGTGCTTTCCAGCTTTACAATGTTTTCGAAACATTGATTCCTTTCGAAGTCAATGTACTCGACGACAATTTGAATCTTCTATTAGATACATTTACTTAATGGAAGGCCTGTGCATTTGTGGCATAATCTATCTATTGGTTTTCCTCCGTAAAGCAAATTTTATTTTACTCTTGTGAGTGAATGATGACTGACTGACTTAAGTAATAAATTATAGATGTTAAGGAAATGTTTTATATATTTGATTCAACATGTTCGAATTGACTGAAGCTGATGAAATTGAAATCCGCGTTATTACATATTACCATAAATGACGACCTCCGTGGTCGAGTCGCTTGCATACAGGCTTTTGTGGTGTCGTCATCTCTGAGGTGCCAAATTCGACCCCCGGCCTGGTCAATATAGTAAAACTTTTCTATATCATCTCGGGCATGGGTGTTTGTGGTATCGTTGTTGTTTCCGATTTCCATGATACAAGTGCTTTAGTTACTTACTTTAGGATAGGAGCAACGGAATGTGATGTTGTTTAATATTTATTATTCATTATAAATCACACATGGCTGCACATTTTACTTTCGTAATATATATTATTAAGGTTGATTAATAATCAATCATGTGTGTGACAGTTTTGTGCAAAAATTGCTTTTCCATTCAAACCTCAGAAAATATGGTTTAGAGAACTATAACCATTCAAATGTGATATGACATATATAATTATATAACATTACCATGACAAATGTTATGACATATAAATGTTTGTATGTAGTAAATACATTATGGTGTGACTCATGACAAATTATGTACTTATGTGACAGCGTTATGAAAACGGATTTTATTTCTATAACCGTAAAAGTATTTTCTACAATGTTAACGAATTTACATGTATAGATAGAACCAATGTCTGTAAAAAGCATGTCTACGATCTTAGTTTCTTGTAGTGACATCTATAAAACAGAGGGTGTTTCAACAGAATTTCCTGCATAGAAAGCTCAGTAAGTTACCCTTGGCATAACGAAAGACTGCAACGGTTTACTACAGTTCGGTAATTCTACCATAGATGGCGCTAGTTTGTCGTATGTTATACTATCGATTACAACATGCGAAGTTGGTCTATAGATATCCTACAGAAGGTTGTGTGGTATGATGTAGTAGAAGTATAGAATTAGTACGTAATGTTTTGTACATTAGTGACGTTTTTCCTGAGGCCGTTTACGCAAATAGTCGGACGTCGTAAATGTAGTTATGACGAGTGTGTGTTGCTTATATTACAAGACTTCACTAGTGACATGAATTGTGAAGTCATAATGAAATAACATAAAATGAGTCTGTAAAAGTACTAAACAGACACACTTTTTTGATATCTGAAGTGTCAACGTCGTCGTGAAATCCTATATGATTATTTATTTATTGAGCATTGACTATAGAGCCATCAGTTCAAAAGATAATAAATAATTAAGAAACTTAAAACATAATAATATAATTAAACTAAAAAAATATCGTGTAAAACAAACAGTAACTACAAAACCCCGTCATTTTTTGTCTTTTTTTACAGTTTTATAAACCATTTAATAGCCCACCTATAAATATTTTTTTAAGTTATTGCATAAATACTTTTTTCATCACAAAACTTCAATGTGATAACTTATTAAACTTTCAAACGTTGTAGTCATTTTAGGTGTTTAGAATTAGCATAATTATTGCGATTAATGCCTAAATTTTCATTAGTGGCAATATATAAAAACCACTGGTATTTATAAAAAATGAGAACTGACTTCTGTGCTTTGAAAAAGAAAAATGACAGTCGATTATTATTTACGATTTCGGATATATCGTTGTTTAATTATATGGGTTGTCTATAATGTTTTGAAACTGATTATGTTGAATATAATTATATTTATATATTGACGTTAGTTAATAGAAACGTAAATTAAATCTAATCTAAATATATGTCAGTCTTCGGCGTGTAAGCAAGAAAAGGTTAGGATATTTAATTTTACTTTAAGGCTGTCAAATCTTGACAGCTCCTTGTAAATTTGCTCGAGGTACAAATGCGGGACGTCTGAGCATATATACTAAATCTATGGTCGGAAGTATAAAAAGTGGCTGTGTCGTCGACAAACTAAAACAAAATATTGTGTCCTTTTTTGAATAAACAAAGAGACAAAAGTATTGTAGAAGTAACTTAACCCCCAAGGGTCAGTGCACAAGTTAATGAAAATGCCGCATTCAAATTTAGCACTACATATTCTCAAATCTGAAAATTTTTCATAAAAAACTGATGACAAAAGACTGATACTTGTGTGGGCCTTTAGCGCTTTTGCCATTGTAATTTGTTGGGTCTTAGAAAGGTAAATTTGCGTTTGTTCGAATTCACTTATGCCTGTTTATAGTGCGTTAGGTAGAGACTATGAACTTCCACTAACCTACGTTCCTGACATGTGTTTTTCGCTTTCTGTATTCGGACACGTTTTTTATATTTTAATATAGCAATACTTTTGCCTTCGATCTGGTTGAGATATGAACGCATTGATCGACTTTTCCTCAATTTGCCAACTAAATTTGCTCTGCAAATGTGTCCCTTTATTTTGCTAAGATTATTCTAAAACCAAAACATTGAAACATTCCCTTTTCTGTTCCATTATATTTCTTATTATTACTTAAGTAATTTTTATTTGTTTATATTTTTTATAAATATACATTTAAATAAACATGAATATTTTATATTCAGTTACTTTTAATGTACTCAAAGCACATAATAACTTTTTTATATCTACATACTCATAATATTTGACTCATAAAAAATATCAAACTTTCCTCAAACTAAATCATAGGTCAGTTAAATGATAATTGAAATGGTAATGCAATATTTACAGTTGTTTTCGACACATCCATAAATAGGTGTGTCGTTGTTACAGCTTCGTACACGAGATTTCTTCGTAGCAAGCTAATTCCATAACACACTGTTGTTGGATTATCAGCTGTAGACGGCTTCGGGTGGCAGAGTGACGTGACAGCCTCTGACGTCATGCCACCCACCCCAGTATGCTGTATTATTCGTACGAAAATATCTTAAGAGTTTTTAAACGAATTTCGTAGTTTAGTGCGAAATGTTTGTTAACCGAATTTTCAGTAATCTCATTTGAATAGAGGCGCTGTATATATTACAAAGATTAATATTTATATACAACGACATCTACTGATAATTACCAGATAAAGTTATCAAAAAGTATTAAACTATTCATGTGTATACTACTACATGTACTATATGTACTACATAGTTCTGTTGCAGCGGCACCTTTTGCAAAAATTAGCGTGCTATTACACAGGTATATGCATAATAATCGTATTTTTATTTATTGGTATAGTTAAAAGTTTGCGATCAACTTGGTGCAAAAAAGCGAATACGAAAATTAACATATTTCAATTTTCCTAAACACTATAAATTCATATAATTATTTATAATAATTGTTATGCGAATGAATTTATTTATTTATTTATTTAGTTATAAATCTGGTAAAACTAGCATTTCATAATATTTATGAAATTTTTCGTCGAAACGAATTAGTGATTAAAGAAAGATCTAAGTGACAAAAATTTACGCAACCAACTAAAATGATTGTTGTTTATTCAGCGATTCAACACGGCCATCGAGGCTAGTAGGTAATAGTTAAGGTTATAATGATGCTAAAAATTGGTAATAAATAATGGATAATTTAAATAATTTATAAAGTGCATCTAAAAGAATTTAATAAAGATTCCCTACTACTAAAAATAATTTAGTAGAGTTGTTATATGAATGCATCATTTTGCTATCATTTAACATAGAACACGTAAGATGAATTTGTATTTATCTAAGTACTTATATTTCTTATGCAAACCTGTCCCGAATGAGTACTGGGCAGGCTTTTATGTAATACTGGGGTGGTTTTCACGCTCAGTTCACGTGTTAGCGACCCTACATGAAAAGGAAGTTACCAGTCGTTTTGGGCGGCAGGTAATGCTGGCCTTGACGAGGGGCGGTCGATGCGTGACGTAACGCGGCGTGTGACGTCATTTGATGCAGGAGCCGAGGACGCGGGTGCCGCCGCTATGCTTGCCACCCTTCCCGTCCCCATGCCACCCTTAATGCCGTTTTCCCACACCGCCTTCATATTTTTAGACTCCGTGACGTAATACCGCTTTTCAAACATAAAGGTTTAACTGACGAATGAATGGCTAAAAATATGGTATGGAAAGTTCTATATGGACCGGGTTTTGCTTGTGCGCTACATGCGAATTTAGTTTCTGTTTTTAATAGTACTCTACTTGACGACTGTATATATTTTTAAACTGTCATTAACAATAATATCACGTTTTCGTACATAATGTTATATTGACATAATCTATATTTTGGCGTTTTAGTGATTTATTATTTCGTATTTCGTTACTGTGTATAATATTGATTTTTTTTATGGCATCAATGACAGGCAAAGGGTGAAAATGATAAGAATCGGCAACGATATTTTGAGCGATGTGTACGCTTAGCTGTTCTCCTTCTGTGTAACTGTGACAGAGTAATAAAGATTTTTATTAGAGACAGACACGGTCCTACTTAGAGTGGCGGCGAGTGCGTGACGCAAGTGGGAACGCGCCCGACCCACAGTGACGTCACTACAGCTGGGAACTGATAGCGTGTCTTATCAACTTATCTGTGAGCGCACCCGACTCGTCTCATCTAAGTATTACAATATACAAACCGTACTCTATTACGTAGGCTTGTAGACACAAATACATTTTCACTTCCTAGCAATCCTAGGTTGTTTAACACATGATCAGATGTATTTCCTATAAAGTAATATCCAAAAATAATCCTTTAACTTACAACCTTATGACGGAAGCGTCTATATTGCTTGTGGGAAACCAAATATGTAGGTAAAATATCTAACATTAATTTGCATTTTATATCCATACACGTTGAACGCTCATTATATTGGTCTAGGAACAGTCATTTTTAATTTGATGATACCACTTTTGTTTTCAAGAACACCCATATGAGGCTACTAGTCGGTAAAACATCCTAACAAAAAGTGAAAGTTTAGGATTTTAGATATTTCATCTATATTTACAGTGTGGCAACCGTTTGGTGTGTTTGCCGGTAAGTTTGTGCAAGTGTCGACGGCGGGTTAATTGGAACTAGTATGTAGATTGGGATCGGTCATGTTACACATAATGGTGTGCTGATGGCAATTTGCAAAGGCGCGCATCTCGCGGCCGGCAGGTGCAACGTCTGCCGGTTGCGACAGCCGATTGGGCAAGTGGCAAGCGGTTCGGCGGAGGCCATCGGCTCCGGAGGCGATCGCGACATAAACATCCCACATTATAGTCGCAGCTGTTACCTAACCCGCCCCGAGCGAAACAAATCCAAACTCAATTTAACATGTCGACTTAATAAAAATCTTCAACTGTCGAAGGCGTACTTTTCGATAAGCGTACTTTTCCATACGAGTCCTTTGAAACTCGACTGTTGTGTGTAATGCATGGGATAGTGGAACCTGGAACAAGTGGTATCATCTTCGGCTAGCGACGGTGGCGTAACTTATTGCATCACTTGTTTGATTCAACTGTTGTATTTCACTGCAGGTTATTTAGCAAGGGTAATAAGTAAGTAATGAAAATAACTTTTCATACATACATACATTCATTCATGTATTACAATAATGTGTAGGGTCGGATTGCATGTTCATGTTTTGTTGGCAATGTATACCATGAATACAATTAAACTATTGCCAGAATAGTGATTGTTTCTTAAATAACGAAACTTTTTCGAGAAAGTTCAAACGCCTTCAATAGTTTTAAAATATATCAACTTAAGTATAAAAGTAACTTTATGTATATTTAAATGACACGTAAATTTGAATATATTATGTATAATATAAAATTTTAATGAGTTATTATAACATAACATAATAGCTTTTTTTTTGTAAAATTTTGCGAAAAAATATCACAAAATCATTTTTATGTCGTATAAAAATGATTGAGAAGTTGTTAAGTAGGTTGCTCCAATAAGGATCCAGTTTGAATTAAAACTATGCAGGAAGTATTCTAAAATAAAAGCTGTAGATCACGTTTTAGGTATTAATTGAAAAACGCGAATAAAATATATAATTTTATAGTGTCTTTAAAAAATTTGTACGTAAAACATTAATAGAGCGACACTTTGGTAACTTTTTGCAAATTTGTTGATTTTTAAATATTACCGAGAGACAAATGTTTGTGCTATTTACAATATCTAAAGAAATCCTTGCATAAAGTTTTTCATGAATGATTTGTAATCAGTAACGCGTGTAGGATTTGTACTAAACTTTCTGAAAATAACAAAAGCTCTCAAAAGTTCTTATAACTTTTTCTAGACGTTATAAGCCAGGGAACCTTGAGGGAACTTACTCATATTTAAAAAGTTTAAACTTAATAAATCTCCACTGTCAAGACAGAATAAATAATAAAAACGGGATAAAACTTGTCGGCGGGATAAACTTAACAAAACAACTTAGTAGTAAAAAACTAAAATTAATAAAATAATAAAATTAAAAAGGGGGGTACGTACGTGTGTGTTGGAATTGTCTAAGGCCGCAGTGTTGGCTGGAGGGCGTCAGCAACGCACCTCGCATTCTAGCCGATGGCCATCGTCACGACAGTTCCACACAGAGTCTACAACACCCAGAGGTTCTACACAACGAAAGCGAAAATAAACACAGAAGTAGTGGGTCTTGCGGAGTGTTGCGGGCGCTGACCTGGCGCAGGCTTGTCGGGGTCCAGCGGGGTGGCGCGCGGCTCCAGGGTCAGGCCGAGGCACGCGCCCGACAGTCCCAGTTCGCTTAGCAGGATCCTCATGCGGCTGGGCACATTCCACTCACTGTATGCGCACTCACTCACTCAGTCAGTCGTTAGCTTTGAGGCAATTCGCGAGAGAACGCGTGGAGGTACGCGCTGGCGAACGTGCGGTGCGTTACTGAGGCCGGCGCCGTGGAGCACGGTGACTATATCGCGGCGCCTGACGTCATGACGGCGACGTCACACCCGTGACGTCACTAACGGTACCTCCCACGGCCCGCCCGGCCGCCGCCCGCCCGAGCCTGCGCTAACGGCAACGCTAGTACGGAGCTTTCGCACACCCGCGCTTGCCGCTCGTCACCGCCGCCCGCCGCCCGGACAGCCGTCGCCGTCGCCACAACACCCTCCCGCGCCTTCCATCCACATGACCGAGCCCCTGAAAACAATTTTCGACTTTTACTTGAGAACATTCTGTCTTAATATTATTAGTTAGTACATACACGCCTGTTCTAGATTACGTTTGTTTCGTTTCGAACGTTTTCTAGATTTTTCTTAAATGTAATTTCATTTTTAATTACATTATACTATCAAGGAGATACTAATTTTTATTTAATATTTTATTTTAATTTTCTTTCATTTATTTATTGCAATTCACACGTATAATGCATTATAATAAACTTTAAGTACGTACGTACATGTGATGGCTGCCTGTAAGAGCGTCGCAAATTTGGATTATAATTTAGGCACAATATAAACTTACCTTACTAACCTAATGAATTACCATTTTTTTTTAAATTTGTTATAAAGTAAAGAAAATCTTATGACTAATTACAATCTAGTCATTTTGCAAGACTAATAAGCAATTTTAATTTAACATAATTTCCTAAATTAAATCAACTTATTTCACTTATTATTTATATACAAATTATCCATCGACAAAATATCTTTTAATATTAATTAAAGGGTTAGTTAATATTTATTTTATTCACTACAATTAACTACACGAACTCAAAAGGTTTAGTTCTTTGTAATCTACGCACTATATTTGTATTGTCTAGTAAATGTGTAGCCTCTATGTTTACGTGTGAATGAATTAACATGGATATTGTATTATTATTTCTATATTTACTACGACATATATTATCATATTAATAGTATACTTATGTCTAATAATAATTTTAATTAAATTCTATTAAAAATTATTAACTAAATTTCTTGTCTATATATATTATAGACTTAGGGCTACGTTCAGCAGTGGACGTCTTCCGGCTGATATAATAATGATGAAGAATCATACATAGGTATTATATCAAACATTTTTATCGCCAAAAATCCAGACATATTGCAATAGGTTTTTTGTTGAGAAAATCTTTTGTTTTTCAAAGACCGTATATTTATCCAAATTTTTAATATAATTAGGGTTGTGGTTATATACTTTTATTAACATAGAATATTTTATTTTCTGAAAATAATTTAAGCCAGAGCGAGGAAGTTTAAGCTCGTTATGATGATGATTATTATAGTCGTCACCAAATAAGAGGCCAAATTTGACAGCTAAAGAAAACGATAGTACGTAACTTTGAATGCGATTAACGAAACAATAAACAAACAATTATTAGCATAATAGAGTTTAAAAAAATACATACATTTTGAAATTATTTATTGAATTGATATTCAATTATTTTTTATGTTCCACTAGTTTGATAATTACATTAATTTTATTGAAACATTATATAATATGACAAACCATATGTGAAGTAGGTACTGTTTTCGCACAAATTCCAAAATAAAATGCTCATAAAATGTTAAATAATAGTGTTGTAAGCAATTAATCGCCGAATTACACCGAGTCATTTCGATTTTTCGGAAAAAATATTAAACAAAATATATTAGAAAAAATTATGAACATTATTTGAGTTTGTTAGTTGTTGACATTGACAACTAACAGCCGAATAATTATTCGGCTGGCAATAAGTTAGAAGTCAATTTGAATTCAATTGAAATTTTTTAAATCCTTGGTTTTTTATTAATTTAAACTTTTTATGTAATTGTTTTATCGATGAATATACTTATTTACACTAAATTCTCGTAATAAACCTTCTATGAATAATATAAAATCAAAATTAAAAGAATTGGATACAATTCATCGGAATGTGGGACAATTTTACGAAAATAAGAGGAATTGCTACAGAATTGCAAGGAATTCTGTAAATGAATTGCTTTTAACAAAATTGCACGATTTGGCCTTTTAGGCCCCCTGAACAACAAATAACCGAAAAATAATCTAAACAATCACAAACTCTTAAAATTTTGAATCGATTTCTCGTGAAAATCATATAATGTGATTACCGATATGATACGTCCACATACCTAATTGTGTCACGATGCAAGTGTCAATTTGGACCTCTTATTTGGTGACGGCCTTACGTCTTATTAATTTTATCGGAGAGTATAAGTCTGCTTGTTTTTTAACGAACTTACAGGCCTCGAAAATATATAGGCACGTAAATAGAGTAAGTATGCTAAGTTTTGCAAAATTTGGCTTAAATGAGTCCGTTCGATCTATGTTAGTTAATATTCTGATGCATTTTTTTGCAGAACTCAAATTTCTTGACAGGTTTCACCACAGTATAATCCCATAGGCCAGTCGCGAGAGGCCAATAGACTTCTGCCTGATAGTCCTTAGAGGGAGCGATCCTAGTTAGTTAGTTAGTTGTTGACCGATTGAGTCAACTGAACTAGGTCGGTCTTCTAGTTCATTTAGTTCATCAAGTTCCTTAGTTCGTTAGTTCGTCTTGTCCTTGCTCGGACATTGAACGAACGCTCCAAACTAGCAATTTTATTCACATGAACGGACTTCTAGTATTATGAGGTCAATAGTTACATTGTGCCTACTAAATATTTAAAAATACAATTTGTATGGAATCGGTACTTTTTGATTATTTTTACCAAACAAGAATTAGAATGGCGTGTTTAAAAATCAATATTTAGGTACAATTATTTCATATACTCGTACACGTAGGTTAATATTATACATACAGATACCTACCACACCTACCAAAAATTTAAGCACTTACTTTTTTGCAAGTTTACATATATACATAATGTAGATACGAGCTGTCAACGTTCAATCGTGCATCCCACTCGAACTTATACTAAAAGCAGTGAAAGATCGCTTTTTGTCCCGCTCGCACAATTCCTACTGAATAAAAGACAGGCGAACTATCAACGTAGATAGTTGCTAGTTCGTACTGAACTAAAAAGAACGATGAAGTATAAAACCGTGGAAGATCTAGTTCTAGAACTAGTTCATGTCGGTCAGTGTCGGGAATATATTCCTAATAGTTCGTAGTTCATGAACTATACAAGCCTATGGGCAAACGCATAGTAAGCTGAAAGGTCCGTTTTTAGGTTAGTATATATAAGTGAAGATAGACGGCTAGATAATTTTTGGATTGGGTTTCCAATTTATATGTATATCTATCTCGATACCTAACATAGTTACCGAATCTACAATTTCTAATTTGTTTAATTTATATTGATAGTTGATATCCAAATAATTTTTTTGGCGGGGCTTAAATGAAGTTTTTTTGATTCTTCTAAATTTACTTGTCGCTTGTTTTGAACGAGCCATTCTGTGAGTGATTTTTTATAGCATTGAATAGTTTGAATTAATAAAACAGTCTAAGGTAAACATGATATAGAAATATGTTTCAATTGTTGTCTATTCGAATTTATTTTTTTATTTGATCCATCACGTTCTATGCTCTAACATCATCCCTTTGATCGTTCCTTTATTAATTAATTACAAAAATGTTACCTACTAGTTACTTACTTAATACTTTAACAATACCGGTTTCCTGGACGTAGATTTAAAATTAAATTAACATATGAGAAGACGAGCCGTAATGAATTTAGTTAAGATTAATAGTTTAATTATAACAAATGGAAATTATAATTCATTAATGAAAAACTATAAAGTTAATTTATTATGTATCTAACATTAAAGAATAAACTGGCTTTGAAGCTATTTCTGGAATTCAGTACATATAACTCACTTCATTTTTGTTTGCATAATTGACAACGAAGTTCAAAGTTTTTTATAGATGTAATAGTCATAATAAAATGCATTTTTGACTTTTGTAATTTGACAGTCGACAGACAAAATGATACCATTATTACAGTGATATATTTGAATGTAATATCGATGCCTTACTTTCTCAAACTCGTATCTTATAAAGAATGATTATTCGGGAGATGCAAAAACTTTCTATTTATTTTAAATTTCTTATCAAGGGCGTTAATTTGGATTTATTAAGAATAGGTAAAAGCCAGTGTGTGAATATGAAGGAAATATGATGTGAAATCAGACTTTAAAATTTGTATGTACGGACAACAGCACATCAGACTACACATTATAGTTCGAAAATCGCCTCCAGTGCAACGGAACAAGATTCGTCAATGCGTAGCTTGATGCGCTGTTGACTGCATTTGTTGCATTTCAGTAATTTTGCGATTTAAGATACGAGTTTGAGAAAGCAAGGCGACGCATAATTGGTGCACTTGCTTGCACCTACCACAATAATACTATTTGGGTATTCTATTTCTAGCCACAAGGTGAAACTTTAAATATATATATAAATAAATACCTCATATTAATATATCACCAATTATTTAAATCAAATTTTCGACCGTCTATAAAAGCGCGTAAGACAAATTAATTTTTAACTTTTTTATGATACTAAGTGACGGAATGAATAAGTCGTGCGCCTGGTGCTAAGCGACACGTCTGTCCAAAGCAGTTGCAGTTCCACTCAGAGCTTAAAATCGCAAAATTCTGAGGGACACTGCCACTGCGCTCGTCACCTTGAGACATCAATTGACAAGTTCGACGTGCCTGTAATTTCACCAACACCTTTATCCTTTAAAACCGGAACGCAGTAACACTCTCATTGCTGCTTGGTGGCAGAAATAGGTAAGGTGGCAGTACTTCGCCGGGCGAACTCCTTCCTCAGCTATACTGCGACTTATGTGCATCGAATGTAGACAGGTAGAAAGTTAAGTGTATCGACTGTAGACAGGTACAAAATTGTATGAAAATTACCATGTCCAGTTAGCAATTATAAGTATGCATTGAAGAGACAAATGCAGCGGTGACGCGGACGCAGGAGGGCAGTGGCAGCGGCGCGACGCGGGCCGTCGGCGTCGTCCGTCCCGTGCTCCCATTCGGGCAGACCGTTTCCGCATTGATTGCGCCCGTCGTCACCCACGGACATACATAGGGTGGCTTGGTGTTTGGCTACTAATATCATCACTGTGACATAACACTTCAGAATATAAACCTCTATCGTATTTGTATATTTCATTCATCATTTTCTTGTAATATTGCACATCAACCCTTAGCGAATAGCGAGCAAGAACTTGAACTAGTTACCGAAAAATGTATAAAATTTTACATTATTAACAAAACTAAAATTTATATTAAATTACCTAAATAAAATAAATTTAAAAAAACATTACAACTTTAAATGGTGTTTTGTAAAACCTTCGTGCGAAGGTGGATAGTTTTTTTTATTTAACTTCGTATTACAAATATAATATAAATATAATATTTATCTTAAATATTTAGAAGACAGATTATACAATAATATCAATTGAAAAAGGCTTAGGAAGAGATTATATAAACGGATTACAGAAAACGGAATTGAGAAAATGTTTGGACAACTGACAGGTACGTAATAGCGAATTTTATAAAAGCTATAATTTAAGTCTCTCCTTCTTTTTCATTTTATGGAAGATAAAAAGGAGAGGAGACCAAGAATACAACAATAAACAAAGAAGAATGTCAAAATGAGCAGCTCTAAAGAGGTCAAAGAGCTGGCTATGGACCGCGAATAAAGGAGGAGGCTACATCGACAAGAGCCTGGATCTAGTATGATTATGAGCGTTGTATTACGAGTAGAACTAATGACAATGATTGAAGAAAATTCACCGACTGCTGTTCTCATTATTATTATTATTATTATTATTATTATTGTATTTATTTTAAACTAATTATTTATTTATTTATTTAACTTTTTTTTTTAATTGCAGCATATGACGTTGACACAATTCGAATTTTTTTTATGATACCAAGCAACGGCACGAAGAAGTCGTGCGCCTGGTGGTAAGCGACACAACTGTCCATAACAGCTGCAGTGCAACTCAGAGCACTGCTACTGTGCCCGTCTACCTGAGACATAAGTTGACAAGTCCATGTGCCTGTAATTTCGTCAGTTGCTGCAATGTTGGCAAAAGGGGTATTTCTCTTATTGGGGGTTGTAATATCTCCACGTCCGCATTGAGTCGGGTGCCCGACGAGTATTTGCGGCTACGATTGGTCGCATGCCCCAGTACTATTTGCTGCTCTCAGTTCGGGCAACCGTCCAGTTATTCTAATTTTACCTATAATCGATGCCGTCGCATCGCCATGCGCCAACTCACCCACAAAACACTTGTCCTTCCGTCAACGGTGTTAATTAATACGTGATAATATTGAGCGAAGAAAGTGGAAACGCAATACTAGGGTGTGTTAAGTACACCACTTTTATTTCGTAGTCTGTGATGTACACGTGCATAAATAATTTCGTATTTGTTTTATTTTACTTTAATGGCAGTAAAGAGTACCCGGCTATCTGCTAAATCACGATTTTACAGTAGTGTTTTGAAAGGAAAAACTTGAGAGAATAATAATATACATATATGTATATATTATATACTGAATATCCTTCAGATATTACCTTTTTATTTTGCTGTAAAATTTTAGCAAATTCGGTTAGTCATATCAGAAAATTCAAGGTTTTACTTTGTTGATTTGCTACACGATTTAGCAAAGGAACTTCAGAATTAAATACCTACCAGTTCATTTTATGATTTAATGAAGACCTAATATTGCTATATAAAATATCGATTACAAAAACTTTTCAATGGTGACCTTGAAAATTAACCACCAGCACAGTTGGTCATTCACGTGACATCCGAGATCTTATTCCGCAAAAAATTTTCATTACCGAACTCAAATACCTAGTTGGTCGAAACTGTGGCAGTAATCGATGTAAACTTTTTACAAAAATAAAACATAGATTGCCATGGTAGCTGTCAGTGTCTTTGTATTTGTTATACTTGGTTAAATATAAACTTCCATAGGATTAATTGCTAATGATAACGTTTATCAGTTGCTAGAATAACAACGTCGAATGCGTCGTCATCTATCCATATTTAAAGTAGGTGTGTGTGGTTGCGCGTACGCGGCACAAACGGCGCGGAGTGGTGTGTGTGCGACTCATATCGAAGCGCGAACGCACCGGCATGAACTCCACGCGAGAGAATTCAATAACGTGAACGCGACTCGTTTGTTTCGATGCTGTCAGCGCGTTACAAGATCTCTGTGTGTTGTAAATGGTTCTAATTGGGCATGACGGTCTATGCTGATAAAACGGTGTCTCCGTTAATTAATGCCCTAGTGTCCGTGTTATACAATACCGTCGGTTAGTGAGAAAGGGCCTGTGTTACGGCTCACTGCGGCCACCAAGCTGCAAACACTGCGCTGGCATTGGGTGCATAATGCACATTGCCAGTGAGTGTGAGTGGAGTGTTCATAAATAGTCAGTGCAAAGGGGGCTACAACGCAATGATCCCTATTGTGAGTAGTATATCACTATTTTAAGCGTTAGAAGCATGTATTACAGATTTTGAGGTTATACAGAGGAATGCATGACGAAAATACTATAGACTGATAACGTGATTTACTTGGATTTATTTGTAAAATAAATAGTCGCGGAGAAATTAAAATGTAGTTTAGCATTTGGTCTTTTTGGACGATCATCATTAGTTTTTGGCGCATAACCAAGGAATTTGTATGCCAGAATGAGTCGAAGTCAAAGATTTGGCTGGTTGTATGTGTTTTGTCTGTTATTATTGTTTGGGTTTCTGTAAAAAGATACCTACATTTACAAAAAAATGTTATTTAATTCGAATGAAATACATCAATTTTCGTAACAATGACTAGTTTCCTATGATTCTACATTTGAAAATAATACTTACCTATATTTTCATTAAAAAAAAATGTATAATAGTACAGGTATAACAAGGTGATATGAGTTAGAAGCATGAACCAAAAATAAATTCTTCCTCATCTTACACAGCACATATGTCATGTTTTATCAAAGATTCATTTATGTATACATTCAAAATAGATATGCTATACGCTTGAGCGCACGTACCTAATCTATATAGCGGAAATATTGATTTATGTGCGCACAGCAATTGACCATGACTATTGACTTTACAACTGAAGTACAAATACACATTATTATATCTTATCATATCAATCATAGTAACACCTAAGTGACATGTATGTCCACTGTATCTAGACGTTAGTTTGGCTAATTCCGTAGGAACTGTACCTACGTTTGCTTCTCAAGTACCATAACCTTGCGCGGGGATTCCATTATCAGTTTTAATTGAGAGTTTTGAGAGTCGCTGACGTATAATTTTATCGTAATCATGTACTCAAATACAACATGGCAACACGCTACAGTAAACATTTCATACTATAACGTTCGTGATTCAGTGGTATATATGCAGAGGCCACGAGCACCATAAACGTCTAACTCAAAAACCGGTCTGAAATTCAGAGCAAAACGAGCCCAACAACGAAACGCAAAGTTGAAGCAAGACAGCGTTTAGCGAGTCGTGTTTTATTCTATACATTTCCGAAAACAGTTCCGTGCCGCTACCATGAGTTTTCAGTGACAGTTGTCGCTAGCGAAGTACGTAAAATAATTTGCATTCAAAATGTTACTTCTGCTTGTGATCGCTAGGGGCGCTGTACAAGTTTTCATACAAAAGTGTGAAGTAAATTACGCGGTCGCTAGCGACAATTGTCACTGTACTCTCATGGTAGAGGCACTGAAGTTTAGAACTTTAATACGCAAATAATACAACCTCCTTATCATAAATAACGCATTAGCATTTCGGTAACTTTCAAGATATTGGCACCTAAAGTTATTTTTTGCTATTAAAAAATGTCAGTTATTTACTACGATTTTGCTTAACAAAACTAAATACGATATAAAAACAACGATTACAGGGTGTATGACAGATCCCGTTAACAATTCAATTTCGTTAAAAATGTCCAAATGTTACGGTAGTTATGATAAGGAGGGCAGAATAGGTATCTAAACGATACAATTAGCCATTGCATTCCGAAATTCAGACTTAAGTCTCTAGACAGAAAGTTACACCTCTGATCGTCACCTAACATGTTCCTGATTTAAAATTTTTTCTTGTGCTTCCTCCATTTGCATTTGTCCATTTCACACGCCTTTCTATTCTGGGTAATTTGGACAGGATACTTAATTAAGGATAACTTTATTCATATATCGCTTTTCAATATTACAAACGCTAAGTTAAGGCGAGCCTACATTTTAGGAGGCAACCAGCGCGCTGAAAATTAATATGAATAAAATATGAATAGATGGAGAAAATTTAACACAATTCCGACATCGACGAGCGCTTGATGGCGATTGACGGGGAAGCCTTCAGTTGAAAACTAAAATTTGGCAGTTTCTCTGTAGTACTTAAAGAGAAATATCTCTATATAAAAATAATATGCAAAGTTACTGGTGGTTTTCTATTATTTTTAAATAGAAAACCACCGTGAGACTCAGACATATTAACTAAAAAAAAACGGATAACTCACGTATTTAAGTCGAATTTTTGCTCGACATGTTTCAAACCAATTCGTGGTCCTTAATCATGAGATTCCGCGGCGGTGACTCGATTCGACTTAAATACGTGAGTTATTCGTTATTTTTAGTTACATAATTTCTTCTTAAATAATTCGTTTTAGACTTTTATTTTAACCTGCTTTCAGCATTTTATATGATCGGTTGAAGTACATCCTATCGTGTAACAAATTAGCATATTCTTTAGGCAACATCCTTAGGTGTATCGTATATTTTATTGTAAGACCGTTATTTAATAGTAAATACCTAAACTCAAATGGTTTCTAGCAAGTTCTAGCAGAACAGTTTTTCCCGCTCTTCTCCGATGACTCGCCTTAAACACTGAAATATTTTTGTTCGCAATTTTGTGAGTTTGCGTATGGATCTTCCAGAACGCTATAGATGCCTAAAAGTAAATCAATGTATATCTGTATTTATATTAATATGTTAATACTATGAATATAATAGTTTCATTCGTACGATAAAAAGTAATAATTAGCTACATTAATGGTGTAGATGTTTGTGACTGATGTACATGATATATGACATTCATTATTCATCTTGCTTTATCGTACGTGTGTGCCACAGAGTATTTGTTTGACTTAGTGTATATTGTAGACAGAAGGCTACAACCAGTTGCAGTGGCATTAAGAGCTTTAAATCGCATAGATCCGAGGTTCATTGCTACTGCACCCGTCACCCTGACACAAAAATGACAATTCCTATGTGCCTGCAGTTTCACTAGCACCCCTTACCCAGCTGCGGATTTACTCTAGGGCGGCCAGATTTTAGGGGCGGTCGTGAAAAAAATTCACTGATGATAACAAAAATAACTCAAAGTACCTAAATATTCTAAAGAACAAAAATAAGAAATTGGATTGTGAGGATTTAATTAATGATTTTGCTACGCTTAAGTGCAGACGAGTTTTGTAATACGTTGTAAAACACTTATTATATCTAATTTTGTATGAGAATGAATCCATAGTTAAATAAATAAAACCTAAAACCGTTTTAAATGTCTTATTTAAATCTATAACCCCCGAAAATATTAAAAACTAGCAGCTATTATAGTTAACTAAATTTCTGAATCGATTTTGATAAAAGATGGCAATAAAGTAAATTCATTGTGTAGTCTACCAGTATATGATGAGTGTTGAGAAAGGGGGGCTGGTACTGACTACATGGCCTGGGGCCTAGAGCGGCCAAAACTGCAAATCCGCCACTGCCCTTACCCTTCAATATCGGAACGCACGTAGACATTCTGGGCGAATTCTTTCATAAGGAGGTCTGTTGCTACTAAAAATTTTGTTGAAACAATCCTTTAAACGACAGTACTAAATTGAACAGAATATCAACGCCACTTGGCTTTCACCATAGATTCTAATTATATAGTTATTCTAAATTCCTATTATTTATAGCATTTTGGTAAACTCAGAGCCCACTCTAACTACGATAATTTGATGATTTTTTATTGTAGAAACCGATGGAGACTTATCACTTGGCACCATAAATAGAACAAGCAATTTAAAAAACTATTCAATATATCTGCTTGCGTTCATACTAGTAAATACCCAAATATATTAGTGGGAATTATTATTGAGAAGCATTCTAAATTTTCGCATTCAACGTATTAAATTATGTTATGCTGCATTTTTTTAGTGAGCTAATTGCCATAGTGTTGTACGTTTTACAAAAATAGATTGTAGCAAGTTACTGGACACCATGCGTAGTAATTCCGCTTTGTCATCACCATACCATACTTTCGAGTGAGTTCTTCATATGAAGGTCCAGCAATTAACGTTGTATGTGTCATGTGATTTTAATTACTTGTCCCATTACGTACTTTATAGACATGAATAACCGTTATCCACATAAATAAATATAATAACCGTAATAACTAATTCCTGTTGTGCATATGTTGGAAACAGGAAATGAAACTATTTTTTTATGATCTAAACCGCGTATTTTTGTTTTTTTCAAACAAACCAACGTTCCGGGCGCTTTACAGGTTCCATGGTTAGTCAGCTGTGACCATGGAACCTGTAAAGGACCCTGAACGAAAAAATAGTTTCAATGTCTATGTGTAACAATCGCGAAAACCTACTAGACATATGTTGGAGGATTTATAACGTAGGTTATCCCGTATGACCCTGAAATATCGGGATAATTTTGAGGGTGATTTCATTTGTACATACGAATAACTTTTATTTAGTAGATTTTATACAGAATGTCAATATTGTCATCTGTTTCGCATAAAATGTCCATACAAATATACTCGACCCAAATATAAGGATCAGCGATTTTTTTTCACGATTTCAGGAAGAATTCCGTTGTCCAAAGTTAATGGTTTTGATGGGTATAATCATCGTTTAAAATCTTGCAGAGTTTTAGAGGTCGTGTATCGTTAATCATGTAGGTCGATGAAAGTAAGCTAATAAATTAATAATTCAACATTTATTGTGAACATCTTTGGGTCAATCTTTGCTTTGTATGTATATGAAATGAATGTTGTATAACTTTTTTCCTTTTTTTTGTTCCAAAACTTTTATGCGAGTATTTTTTTTGCATTAAAGTTGAGGGCTATAGGACGGTCACATTCATAAATATAATGCAGGTGTATGTAATAAATAAATATTTAAGGACCAAAGAACTATGACCAAAAATTGTAACACTTTTGGAATTACATAAAAATATATTTTGAATTTTCATTCTAACGAGATAGATTATTGTCGTACAATCGTTTTTCAAAAATTTCAAAAAAAGGTTGGATAAATTTCCCACCCATAAATATCGTTCAATATTTACGGGAAACACTATGTTTATAAAGTATTTTTAAATAGTAGTAAAATACTAATATTGCGAAGTTGCACCTATTATTGTGTTAAACTGTATCCTAGCCCTTAATTAATGATTATAATATTTCCTTCTACAGTTTATTATTCTACACATTATAATTACGTTTACATGAAGAAACCTAGTAAGTTAGTGATTGTTAACGCATTAAGAATGATTCTTCTTTTTGAAATATCTTAGGATTGATATTATTGTTGAAAGTTTTAAGACGTTTTTACTATTTTTAATTATGTCATAGATTTTACTGCCAGTTTGACGCCGATTGCCAGCTACCAAATTAAAACTGATAACGTAATGGCGTTGTATCGGAAGGGTGGTGATTCCACCTATTGATTTTGATTAACAACATTTAAAAAGAAAGGAAATGTAGCTGTTCCGCACATTTTGATCATACCCGCCATTAACTTCTTATAAGTAAATTAGTAAAAGTTGTTTATATTAATGTATCGGCTGTAAAGCAATATATTAACACACTGTATTTTGGTTTGATAGTCATATGACAATGAATGTAGCTCAGAATTATTTGTAGGAAATTTAAATGCTTTACCACCTTACATTCTCGTAATAGTTCAAAGTTTGATAAAGACCTCGTAGTATATCGTATTGTTCATTATAATAAAACAGAAAATATACAATTATAAAAATTGTACTGACTTATCCATACGTTGGTGAATAATCCGCAAACCAGGGTTCATCAGGTACAACATTGATCACCACGGAGCATCGGAATGTCAAATGCCGAACTCTTTAATGGAACCTGTTGACCTATCCAATGTATTATAGTACGCGTGCTATAAACTGTACTAGCAGGCCTTACACGTGAGCTACCGACCCGTAACTTATTAAAAGGCTGCGTCTTCTCTAGACATTACGGACGTCACTGAACTGAACAGATATTATTATTATCACATCACAACCTTATCGATCCATATCCCACACCCTAACTCCCCCCCGCACGTGCTACGTCATTGTTTCTAGAACTCCACAAACGGTGACGTCCCTTCCATGACGTCATAACTATGACGACATTGTTTTGCGCATGCGTTCTTGTGCTGGCAAGGTTCGAGTTAAATTGGGATTTCTGGAGGCGTTTGATGCTAAGTACGTTAGTCCTATTTTTAGTTCTCGTTTAATCTCGATTTTACTATAAATGGAAGGTTTCTTAAGGTTTATGACGTTGGCTGTAGCTAAAAATATATGACTACTCTAGTTGTTATAGTACAGTCAACAGGACATCTAACTGTAATAGGTACACTTTTGTTCAAATATCGCCTCCAGTGCAACGGAACAAGATCCTTCAATGTCTACATTGATGTGCTGCCGTTTGTACATGGGATTTCTATTCTACGGTTGGTGTGCAATCTGTAAAATTCTTATAAGAAATATTCATAGCTATAGTAAGCCTCATGTTACACCTTATTATGTTGTCATAGTTTTACGATTTTTGGTGTATTTTTATTTTTTAATTTTCATGACATCTTACAATCTTCCACGCAAACTTCTAAGCCCCTTGGATTATGCCCGAATTCATATAATGAAGCGTGATAGCTCCGCACCCCGATTTTCAGTCCCGCCGTCAGGTGGCGCTCTACTACCCCAAATTGACAACATGGCGGCGTTCACAGTCGGCGGCGTGGCCATCACGCCACCCTAAATAAATTCGTAATAATCCCTACAAAGAGTTCAAAACACTCGCTCAAGGCCTAGTGACAATATCCGATGGAGATGACGTCTTGTACAAAAGGTACGCTACTATACTTTTCATAATCATTCCCACTATCAGTAACCCCACATTTAACAACCACACTGGGGAAGTATTGATTGACGGAGTAATCATAAACAACTACTATATGTTACTAGTATTACTTTACGTTTGTCAGACAAAGCGGTAGTATCTTTAGACGCATCTCTGAGGTATTTGTGTGCATATCTGATTGGTCGCGTATTACGCAATAGCGGGTTGCGAAATTGGTGCACTCAGTTGGTGCATTGCCGTTGCTTAGCAACGTCGCATGGGATCTAAACCTCCAGTGATAGTTGTTAAGCACGATGTGGGTGCGTAAGGTGATTTTATTTCTAGGTTACCTCCCGTATTACGTACCGTTTATTTATAATTAACGTTTTATATATCAGTTGCATGTGAGCTGCGAGTGAAAGTATAGTTGTATATCTTTTTTATAATTTATAAGCAACCTCTATTTTCAATAATGAAGATTCATGATAAAAAATATAGATTGTTTGATTAAAAAATATATGCATATGATATAGTTGAATCGAAAAATGTTTTGGCAGATACAATTATTTCTTTGTTAAGTTGCATAAACTCTTATTCAGTGTTCTGATCGTACGTATTGTGAATATTAAATTTTAATGTATATTTGTCTGTTTTCAGGTAAATAATCTTCTGGATTATGGTCTACAATAAAGGTATAAGAAGATAATTATAAAATTATTTAGATATGGATCCAATTCTAGAAAATGAAGGTGCTTCAACTGTTTCACCGACGAATTATGGAAAGAAACATAAACATAAGAAGAAAAAGAACCAAGAAGCACCAGTGCAGGGCCAGACCGTCGTCGGCGAGAAAAAGAAATTTGTAGTTACCACACTATCCAGGACTGACGAAAAAGAAGTTCCTGCTAGCAGTGTAGCCCAAAGTAACATCCATACTGTACATTTCGGCACTAAAGGTGTTGAATCGCAAAGACCCCACGTTAGATCAATATTTAAAGATAGACCGCCAGACTCATCATCCAGAGCGTCAAGTGCTGAAAGAGAACCTGTTAAAAAAGAGTATGAAACTTTTCACGGAACCTCTTCATCTAGTCCTCGAAGCTCTATTTTTGATATTTTCAGAATACGGCGAAAGAGTGATGCTAAAAAGCAACACTCGTTTATGCAAAATGTGAAAGCTGCCTTAGGGGCGACACCGAAATCTACAGAGGCTCCGGAGTTCTCTAAAGAGGAACAAAAAGCTGAGAGTCCAAAAGAAACGCATAAGAAATATTACCATACGGTAACTGGAGCATCTTCTCGAAAATCTAGTCCAATGACCAGAGTGATGGACATTTTTAGAAGTAAACCTCATCAAGAGACAGGTCAAGCTGCGGCAGATCCAGTCAAAAAGAAGAATAAACAGATCCGTCGTTCTTCCATAGAGACAACGTCTCCTACTTATCACAAAAATTCGTATGCATCGTTGGATCCGATGCAGGCTAAGCAGCTCTTTAGAGAAGTTCGAGGCCTTCCGAAATATGATCCTTATTTATCTATTGTACAAATATCTATTGGAGGACGAGATAAAACAAGACTGTTGTTGAATTTCTTTAAGTATCACAAATGTTACGAAATATTGCCCAAGTCAGCGAAAGTTATAATTTTTGATACACAATTTTTAGTTAGAAAAACTTTTCCTACACTTATATCGCATGGAATTCGTTCAGCTCCACTATGGGATGCTACTAAAAAGCTTCTCGTTGGAATGATCACTGTAACTGATTTCATACGAATTCTGCTTCACTACGACGCCGAAAACTTATGTATAGAAGATTTAGAAAGGCATTCTCTTCACAACTGGAAAAAAATTCTGCGACCTTCACGAAAACCTTTAGTCAGCGTGAGACCTGATCAATCATTGCACGAGGCTATTAATTTGTTAAGCAAAAATCGCGTCCACCGATTGCTTATGATAGACCCGTACACAGGAGATGTTTTATACGTTTTGTCTCATAAGAGAATATTGAGATTTTTGTTTGTGTACTTGAACGAATTCCCAGAATTAACGTTTTTCCACAAAACGATACATGATTTGAAGATTGGGACGTATGAAGATATTGTGTCTGTTACAGACAATACTAGTATTAGAGCAGCATTTCAATTACTACTGCAAAAAGATATATCAGCTTTGCCCGTCCTTAATGATGATGGCATACTACTAGATGTGTACGCAAAATATGAAGTATTGAATCTAGTCAGTGAAAAGTTGTACACGAATTTGTCAACTACGATAGGAGAAATACGAAACAAGAAGAAAGACTGGGAAGAGAAGTTGCAAAAATGTCGTTCAAGTATTACTTTATACGAGGCCTTAGAAGTTATTGTTAGAACCGAAAGTCATCGATTGTTGTTAGTTAATAAGGATGATAAATTAATTGGTATTGTATCGTTGTCAGATATTTTAGTGTACTTGAACAGAATAATACCTGCAGAAAAGAAAGTTTCTTCCTTGCAAGAGCTGTTCAGACCTCTCGAAGAGAACAAGGTACCCGAGTCAGCCAAGGAAAATGAAAATGAAGTTATATCTATTGAGGTACCGCAACTACAAAATATTGTAAATGAAGTCGGTGAAACAACGACGTCTACTGAGAATGAAAAGTCGGAAATAAATATCAGTTATAACAGTGCTGATAATCAGACGGAGTCTAAAATGGACCATGTCGAGGCGTCAAATGAACAAGAATGTTCAGAAGATTGTAAAGTACGCAATTTGAATGACAATCAAGACCCTGCTGCACCATCCAATGAGGAAACGAACAATGAAACAGATAAATTAAGTGAATAAGTAGTCGATTTATTATTCCAAAGAATATGTGATAGGTGGAATCGCCGAATCAATGTATTATAATCTCAAAGAACGCTTTGTGCTTGTATTAATATAGTAATTTAACTCCATAATACTTGCGTTAAATACCACGTGAATGCCTTATTCATTATTTAATTAATATCATTATAAAACATTGCTGAAACTAAATAAATTATTTAAGTAGTTTGGTTTTTCTATTTAAAAAAACATCCTCAGATCAATTTGTCGTACCTTTACAGTTTAATACGAAATGTAAAATGCTAGTTTTGTAAAATTTCTCTCCTTCCACCCTCTTTTCAATAAAAAAAAAAACAAAATTGGTTCACAAGTTGAATTCAAAAGTTGAGTTATCGCGTAACATCATAAAAAAATATACAGACGAATTGAGCACCTCCTCCTTCTTTTTGAAGTCGCTTAAAAACACGATTAAAAAAAATTTTGAGGTGAATATAATTTGCGCGGATGCATAACTTTACCGCAGAAACAGAAATCGAAACCTGTTAAATGAGATCACAAGGACATGACTGGCATAGACTCAAATAAGCATAAATTGTCTTTATATATCGCAAAATTTGCACAAACAAAGCCACTCTAGATGAACAGGTAGATGTCTGGACAAATGTACAATGATTTGATAATATTTTACTTTTATCGTTTAATGGTGCAAAAGAGCAGACAATCCGTAAATAGCTCGTTGTATCGTCGGAAAAGTTCTGTTATGAGATTATTGTTATGGTAAGCCACATTTGAAATTATAAATAATTAGGTGCCGAAATTACCTCTAGTATACTTATATATAATAACGTCTAGACTCCCTTTGCATACTTACAGTGTGTATACGACTGCGTTCAATGTCATAGAATTACCATTTGGTATATCGATTTTGCTACGGCTATATTGTTATATACTGCATACTTCACGTAGCTGTATTGTGAAATTATTTGACGATTGTTTGTTCGCTTATAAAAACTGTATGTATATATTTTTGAACTTGTGGAAGTAGTAAGCTTGAGTAGGTATAATTATACAGCTCCAATGGCGGCAGCGTTTTGTGCAATGCAATGAGCAACGGGAGACGACCGGTCCTACAGAGAAGCCAACCCGGAACATGCCCCAAGGTTACCGTATCTTTTACTCGCACGATCACTTTTATTTATTATCCTCTCTAACTACCCATAACCGATCTCGTTATTATTACATTTATAGTTACACGTTACGTTTTAGACGTATCACGTTATTAAAATCATACCCTTTAGATATACATGTATAATTTTGTTTTATATACAATGAATAAGGTGATGTTATCGTAAAAGTATAACTTAATGGTAACGTGATAGTAATAGATTCTAAATGAATTAGCATACGAAAATGAACCAGTAGCGGCCCACTCGTGTGAAACCGGTAAGTCACTTGGCACTGGTTAAATAAATATGGAAGGTTGTAGCGTGATTGTGAGACGAATCTGCCTACACGCATGCGACTGCCTGTTCAGTCAACAATGACGGTACGGTATTTCGGGGACATTCTTAAGACATCGTGTTACGTTAAAGTACTATTGTTTAATATATTAATTATCTATGAATTTCGCTTTAAAAAAAATGTTGCCTTAAAAACAACGTTTTCCGTCGAGTTTACAAACAACATTTGTTGTACAACTTTTAGAAGTTGGAAAAAGTGTTTTTGATTCGAACAAATACCAGGATTCATGCTTCTTGCATGTACAGAAGGGTAACATTTTTAAAAGTGGTAACACCGCGTGTACATAAAAATGTTTTCATTAGAAAGTTTTTTGTTACTCTTTTGACAAATTCTGCATCTATACCTCTCGGCGTGACTCATACTTACTTGCTCAGAGAGTCCACCTAAGGGTGCTAACAGATGGACTGCATGTCTGCAGCTAATTCATGCTGTCGAGACTTAAAGTGCAAGCGCCTCGGCTGCCGTCGATGTGATCTATAATCTGAGAACTATCTATATATAGTTCTCAGACTATAGATATCTTTCTTGGCCGAGAATCAAAAGCAGCAGTTGATGATTTTAAGAGGATAATATCCTTTTTGAAAAATATCAAGTTGTTTCTAACACAAACAATTAAATAAATTTAAAATTATACAAACTTACTGTCTAGCATTAGAATCTATTAAAGTATTTCTTTGTTCGATAAAATAGTAATGATGATAAATATAAATCATAATCTGATGTGTAATTTATGTACGTTAACGATTATGACAATAATAGTGACATATTTTCATCATATCCTTATGGATGTTATCATACCTTATAATTTTGTATGTATTTGGTATTTTATCATACCTTGCCCTGTATTTATTTATAGAGTATTTTGAAAGTTCGAGTTTATGGAAGAAAGAAGGAGCTAGTGACAAAATGGGGTTAATTTCATGTCATTATAATGGACAACATTTGTTATAGACGTTTTGAAACTTGTTGTTTTAGACTACAGCTGCTTCGACTTGCAGGGAAATCATATTAAACGTTGAATAAGAAAATTCGTTATTCGTATTATGATAGTTCGTATGAGAATAAAAAGCCTTTGAAGAAAAAGCCTGTGCATATTAAATCATCAGAGTAATACATACCTTGTTCGGTTTAATAACAATAATTGAATTGAATGATGGAAACACCTTATACGCAGATAAAAATGCGTTTATTTTAAAATGGTTACAAGTATTGAATTTAAAACTGAACCAGGCAGCGTAGCGAAGGCAACTGCCAAAATTTTGTAAAACAAAGACAGCCGAAAAGTATTTAATAAAAGGAATGTATGAGTACAATGTAAAGAAAGAACTATGAGTACGAAGGAGGCTGCGTCACAGCTGGTCGCCAACAATCTTATATATGTTATTTTTAATTCGAAATTCGCGGGATTGCACAGAAGTAAGTACATACTATTTAGGAAACCTTATTAGATGGCCACAAGAGTCATAGTCTAAGGCTTGGAATTATGCGTAAAAGTTTTCTCTGCGAAATTATATAAATGTATCACTTTGATTCATTTGATTGTTTACCGCATGAATGCTGAGTGAATGGACTATTAAGTGATTAATAAAGTAGGAGGGCAGTAGAATAGTGATTGTTTGCGAGCTATTTTATTATGACTTTACCATATTAACGACTGACTTAACATAAAATTACGTACGAGTAAAATTTAATGTCTTTCGTATCACGGAATACGCACGTCACTACTATTTCGTTTCTCAAGGCTGATTTTTTAAAACCAGTAGGTAATACGTAATGGCAATTCAAATAGAATATGTAAATATGTCTCTTCCTATTTTTTTAATATCAAAAGAATTGATAAAATAAAAACAGTTGCAAGAACCACAACAGGTGCTAAGTATTTTATGGAATAATTTATGTTCATAACAAGAATACTGTTGTTATCGTTTTTTGAGTAAAAACTTGCGTATTACATGTTTCATAAGAATTGCCTTATAAAATGTAATTATTCGCTTCTAAACAAATTTATTATGTTAATGAAATTAAAAAAAAAAGAATAACTAACTAGTGGAGTAATTTCACAAAAAATAATTGAATATCAATTCAATAAAAAATTAATTAAAAAAAAAGAAATTACAAAAAAATGTAAACAACACCAACCTATATAACATTGTTGACTTACTCATCACATCGCTCTAAATAAGTAGCATATTCGTTTTATAAGTTCTTTTAGGTTGTACCTATAAATGAAGAACCGGTCGTTTATAATTTATTAGGTTTTCGCAAGGTTTCTATTAAAAATACCTACTGTAAAATGTTGCTATTGCGTAGGCAAAAATACACCATTTTTAGTCCTTGTGGTAAATTATTATGTCATAAAATGAAAATATAAATATAATCTTTTTATCCAGAATTTATGTATTCAGGTCCGAAAGAAATGCTTATTTTTACAATTACTTATTAGATTAAAGCATAGTTTCCCAAACTAGTCCCTATTGCCCCTCAGTGGGCAAGTAAGAGTCCTCGAGGGGCCGTAGGGGCCTTGGAAGCAATTTGGGGCCGTTGATGCTGTCCATGGCGTGCTACCGCATTTGAAAAAAACCTGAATTATCTGTATAAACTACACTACAAATATATATTTTTTTCCAATGTATTTTTTTGTGTTAAGTTAATATAAAAAAAAACGTATGTTTTCAAGTAGGTGCCTAAGTTGGCGGTGAGCCATAATTTTGGGAACCTATGAATTAAATGATAACGCTAGAGGACTGTCTGGGATGATGAGTGGCATCTTTGCAGAATACCAGCATCTGTTCATTGCCATGACTTTCTCCACTATTTAGTTAAATTAGTTACATGTAAAGTTTTAAGTTCCTTCTATTATATGTTTTTTTTTGACTAGTTTAATGTAATATTATCGTACCCCTCATGGAAGAATGGCATAATGAAGTTACGTCAAAAATGATTAATGCTCTATTAGATACAGAAAAATATAACCCACATTCTCTCCAATTCTTGGAACTCTATCGACAATATTAGTCGATAGACTTACAAGAGCTAATTTATATATTTTTTATGTTTTTCTGTATTCAATGGTAATAAATATTTTTGACGTAAGTTCACTTATGCCATTCTTCCACGAGGGGTGCGTTATAGTGTTAGTTTTAGTCGATCTTCGTAAATAAGTTGTCATGGAAGTGAATAAAGTTTTTATCCATCTATCTATCTACCTTCAAATTGATTTACACACAGTCATGTTCGGAACACGTGGCTATAAACTTGCCGTAGTGTTTGTCAAAAGTATTCAATTAAGTGTAGCTAACATAGCTTTGAATCTTCGATGGATATTAAGCCTTGCCTAATAAATAAGCGGAATTAACATATTTAATCGATCAACCTGGAGGTCGCCTGGCGGACGTTAAATTAAATTCATTATGTTGCAAAGTAAGTCCACTAAGGATGACAATTTTTTCTTGCTTATATATTATCTGCTTTTGTAGCCTTGGTGTAGGTTGTTTTGGATATGTTTAAAATTAATTCCGGTCTTTATTAAGGAAAGCTATGACGTTAATCGTAATTTTGTAGACTTTCAGAAACATCATATACGTAAGACACGTTTGCACACCGCATCACATATATGTATGTTGCGTCACACAATGAAATTGTAGCTTACAAGGATATCCACATTGGTACTACATTTATGC